CGCTCAGGCACGCCTCCTAAACTCCGGCCCTGCGCTTTTTATTCTAAAAAGCTCAGCCCGGCGGAACGAAATTATGACGTAGGGGACAGGGAGCTGCTAGCTGTAGTTCAGGCCCTAAAGGTGTGGAGGCATTGGCTTGAGGGGGCTCAACACCCTTTTCTCATTCTGACTGACCATCGTAACCTGGAGTACATCCGGGCAGCTAGGAGACTGAACCCTCGTCAGGCTAGGTGGAACATGTTTCTGACCCGGTTTGTTTTTAAGCTTACTTACATCCCAGGGTCCCAGAACGGTAAGGCAGACGCCCTGTCCCGGCGGTATGACACAGAGGAGAGGTCCATTGAGCCCACTCCCATGCTGCCGGAGTCTTGTCTGGATGCGGAAATCGAGCGGGCGTTATGCACCGACCCTACTCCTCCGGAGTGTCCAGTGGGGCGGACGTACGTGCCGTTCGAGATCCGCGATCGTCTCATATATTGGGCTCACACGTCACCCTCCTCTGGACATCCAGGTATTGGCCGGACAGTGCACTGCCTTAGTGTTAAGTACTGGTGGCCAACATTGGCTAGGGACGTGAGGGTTTATGTCTCCTCCTGCTCAGTGTGCGCCCAGTGTAAGGCGCCTAGACACCTGCCCAGGGGGAAGTTACAGCCCCTGCCCGTTCCACAACGGCCGTGGTCTCACCTCTCGGTAGACTTTGTCACTGACCTACCCCCCTCCCAGGGGAATACCACTATTCTGGTCGTTGTGGATCGGTTCTCTAAGGCCTGTCGTCTCATCCCAATGCCGGGTCTCCCTACTGCCCTACAGACCGCTGAGGCTTTGTTTACCCACGTCTTCCGGCACTACGGGGTTCCCGAGGATATAGTGTCTGATCGAGGTCCCCAATTCACCTCTAGAGTCTGGAGGGCGTTCATGGAACGCTTGGGGGTCTCGGTTAGCCTTACCTCGGGTTTTCACCCTGAGAGTAATGGGCAGGTGGAGAGAGTGAACCAGGATGTGGGTAGGTTTCTGAGATCGTATTGCCAGGACCAGCAGGAGGAGTGGTCGGGTTATATCCCTTGGGCAGAGATTGCCCAGAACTCTCTTCGCCACTCCTCTACTAACCTGACCCCTTTCCAGTGTGTGTTAGGGTATCAGCCGGTTCTGGCACCATGGCATCAGAGCCAGATCGAGGCTCCTGCGGTGGATGAGTGGTTTCGGCGCTCGGAGGAGACGTGGAATGCTGCACACGTCCATCTGCAGCGGGCTATCCGTAGACAGAAGGCGAGCGCCGATCTCCACCGCAGTGAGGGTCCAGTGTACGCACCTGGAGATCGAGTCTGGCTCTCGACTCGAAACCTGCCCCTTCGCCTGCCCTGCCGGAAGCTGGGTCGGCGGTTTGTGGGGCCATTTAAAGTCCTGAGGAGATTGAACGAGGTATGCTACAAGTTACAACTGCCTAATGATTATCACATTAACCCCTCGTTCCATGTGTCTCTCCTCAGGCCGGTGGTAGCTGGTCCACTCCAGGACAGTGAGATAAGAGAGACTCCTCCGCCCCCACTGGACATCGAGGGGGCTCCGGCGTACTCAGTCCGGTCCATCGTGGATTCGAGACGTCGGATGGAGGGTCTACAATATCTCGTGGAGTGGGAGGGGTACGGTCCGGAGGAACGGTGCTGGGTGCCTAGGAGGGACATCTTAGATCCCTCCCTCCTGACGGAGTTCCACCGTAACCATCCCACCCGCCCTGCTCCGCGTCCTCCTGGCCGTCCCCGAGGCCGGGGTCGGCGCACGGCTGGAGCCGCGCGTCAAGGGGGGGGTACTGTCACGAATACCGCCGAGGCTGCTCCTCCTCCTTTTTCGGGCAGGCTTCGGCGTTCGTCGTCCCCGGAGTACTAGCTGCCACCGTTTGATGTTTTCGATGTTTGTTTGGTCATGTCTAGTTTAGTGCACCTGTTTCGTATTCTGTCCTGATTATGTCACCTATAAGTTTCCCTGTGTTATGTTTTGTAGTTGTGTGTTAATGTCCGCCTGTCGTTTTGTTGTGAGGTTCGGTACTTTTGTTTATGAGTGTTTTACGCATTTCGCGTATCAGTTCGCCTCCGTTGTTTCGAGGCCATTTATTTTTGTATATTGTTCAAATACTTCAGTAAAGTCGTTTTGACTTATCCTCTGTGTCCTGCGCCTGACTTCACCACCGCATCCACATCAGTCTGTGACAGTCGCCAAATCGTCAGAAAGTTTGTTTCAACCTCTTGGATTTCAGCATCCCCTGACAAACACTGCCATCTCTGTTATATTGGTTGTGTATATATATATATATATGTGTGTGTGTATAAATATACTCAAAAAATAAAAAAAAGTAGAAAAATATTTTTTTAAAAATTGTAAAGTGGTTGTCCCACTGGCTATCATAAGGTGAATGCACCAATTTGTAAGTCGCTCTGGATAAGAGCGTCTGCTAAATGACGTAAATGTAAAATGTGTATATGTTACAGTGTGTTTCTCTACGCTGACATATGGCTCTGGAGTGTGAGGGGGGTTTAACCTCTAAAAGACAGGAAACTGTCATATCAGACAGGAGGAAAACTAAGGGGACCTGACGTGCAAACGATATAATTAATTACTAAGGGCAAACTTGGGCCCACAAGGCTCTGGTCAAAAGTATTGCACTAAGGAACCGAGTGCCATTTGAGACGCACACCTGGACTAGTGAAGTAATCACTGACCATTCACCACTAAGTCATTGGTCATATCTCAGAAGAATGCTCTGTCATAGGCTAATGTGGTGTTTGGTTTCCTTAGACGTTCTGTGAGATCTGGCACATTACCATCTGAGTAGGGGCAGAGTGAGTAGTGTTGGAGGAGAGCGAGAGAGAAAAGGATACAAAGTAGTGGTCGGAGACTTGGGAGGGGAGTTGCTAATGTGGTGTTTGGTTCCTTAGACGTTTTGTGTGATCGGGTCTTCTACACAGCTTGACTGCAATAAAGACCACCTGGAACGCACCAAAATGATGGTATTTTTCTTCAAGTAGATGAATCAGTGGATGAATAGGCTACATATCTGGCGGTTTGAAGCATGTCTATAACGTAAATATATCATAAAGCAAATTATTATTTATTTTATACAACTTCCTGTTGTAGCCTTTTGGCCAATGCACATGCAGAGTGTTTTATGTCACTTCCTGCCTGCTACGTTAGGTTAGTCACTTACTTCAAGAGTTCTGATTTTGAGGATTCACTGATCTCAGAATCATGCATCTGATGCGCGTCACATCAAAACAAACATGTCTGACTTCAGTGTTTGAGGGTCTACATAACGAAGAAATCAGTACAATTTATCGTATTGGATGTGGGGGAAATTGGAAGAGTAGGGGGAGTCGGAGGAGAAATGTCGTCACTAGACAAGGCAAGAACTAGATGTATGTCAGGAGAAGTGCAGTATTATCATAAGGAGAGTTATACTTGGAATACGGAGGAGGAATGGAGGGAAAAAGAGAGGCAGAGGAGGTCTAAGAGAGAGAGAGGGAGGAAGAGGGTGAGCTTGAGTCAGTTAAAAATGGCGGGAAAAAGGGAGATGGTTGGTTAAAGAAGAATGGTAGAAAGTGTAAACAGAGTGAGTTGAAGACAGGAGGAGAAATGGAAGTGAGTGAGGGCGAATTATCGGAGGTGGCAGGTGTGGTGAAGTTCTCTGAGCCCGAGGTTTGCACCGAGGGTCAGGATAAAGATGAGTCTGTGATGGCAGGAGTGAAGTTTTTGGAAAAAGTGGACCCTTGTCTTTTGGCTGATCCATTTGTGGTGTCAGGGTGGGTGAAAACAGAGTTGGGTGCTGTGGAATCGGTGAGGGTAACCAGAAGTGGTCTGGTGACAATTGTTTGTGTTTCTGCTGGTCAGAGGGAGCAGGCGCTCCACGTTAAATGAATGGGGACAAGAGATGTGAATTGTTTCGCTCTCAGGAAAAGGGCGCCATTGAAAGGAGTGATTACTGGGGTAGCGGTAAATGTGAAAGCTGACCAACTGAAGGGGAAGATTCCCGGTGTTTGTGATGCTCGTCGTTTGGTGCGACGCAGACAGAAACAGAAGAGTCATTGTCTGTTCTTTTGAGTTTTGATGTTGAGTCTCTGCCCGACAAAGTGATGTTAGGATACATAAGGTATCCTGTACGAGCTTTTGTGCCAAATACATTACGTTGTTACAGGTGTCAAGCTTATGGGCATGTGACAGCAGTGTGTATGAGGGAGGTTCCTAGGTGTGAGAAGTGTGCAGAAGGGCATGAGACAAAGGAATGCGTAGCATTGGGGAAAGTAGTGGCATGTGTTAATTGTAGGGGTGCCCATGGGGCTGGGGATCAGAAGGGTCCGGTGCGAGAGAGGCAGGTTGAGGTTTCCAGGGTTAGGGTAGAGCAGAGGGTGTCATATGCTGAGGCAGTGAAGAAAGTAGAGGAAGATGGGTCAAGGGGGAGGGATCCTGAGAGGAGTGGTGTGAGTAGTAGATCTGTACCAGTACAGAGGGATAAACCAACAAGTGATATATGTTTCAGTAAGATTGGATTTTTGGCATTTATAGCAATGGTTATCAACTGTACTGCAGGGATGGAACGTAAGTCGCAGAAAATAGAGGTTGTGGTGGCAGCTGCAGAGAGGTATTTGGGTGTGCGAGACAGAAGAGTTACAGGGTGTGTTAAGTGGTGGTGTCCCATCCTTTCAGGCTGTTGGCCTGAAGTAGGAATAAATAGATTGAAGTATTGTAGTTATTATTATTATTATTGTTAATATTATTATTATTATTTTATTTTTTGTGAGTGTAGTATTAGTTGGTAGTGTATTTGTTGTATTATTTTTTAATTTTTTTAAAGCAAAGTATAAGGGAGTTATACTCCACTCTAGTAGGTGGCGGTAATGCAACATTTATTGGATGCCAACTGTCGTTAAATCTCATCGACGAAGAAGAAATCATGCATCTGCGCAGTACTTCCCAAGGCTGTGATTCTGTTAAACTGGCTCTTCCGGACTCTACCCAACTCCGCTCAGCTGTCATTCTTATTTGCAAACAAAGATCCCGTGCTCGGGTGATTGCAGCTCCGCCGCCGCGTCCACCCCGTTTGTCACTTGAATCGTGTCGTTACCGGGTAAAATGGGGGAAAACGCCGACACCGAGATCATAGAGCACCACGTTGACGAGGAGATGGAGAAGAAGAGGATATTAAGAAGCCATGGCTCTTCGTTCATGGAGAGTGTTACACCGTCGGAGAGGGATGGACACAGTAGTACGCAGTCTTCCCACAGGCTACTGGCGTACAGTGATGCGCTCATCTCAATCATAGCTACTGTTATGGTAGGTAGGTAGGTACGTAGGGAGAAGCATGGACAGGTTAAGAAACTCTGTGGACATAATGTCAATGTCTAGCCTGGTAGCAGTCTGTACTAACCGTCGAGATCAAATGAAATTACTAGAGGGGCTATGTCATAATATAATATGCCATTTAGCAGACGCTTTTATCCAAAGCGACTTACAGTCATGCGTGCATACATTTTTTGTATGGGTGGTCCCGGGGATCGAACCCACTACCTTGGCGTTACAAGCGCCGTGCTCTACCAGCTGAGCTACAGAAAACTCATAAACCCTCAAGGTTCCAGAATGGGGTGAAAATGGCAGCCATTAGCCATGTTTCCTTCCAATTGGCGACAGATTTTCATGCGAATTTTCTAAAATCCGCATAAAAACAATGAGCATTTTCCCCACCAGAGATGTTTCCATCCAATTGACCAGTTGTGAATAAAAGCCTGTGCGTGATGACGTAGTGCACATAATAACTTTTGGCGTTTAAATTCCCATGTACCGAATAAAAACGTACAAATGAAATGAGTTTCCATAGCATTTTCAACTCTACTGATGGTTTTGTCACAAAATGTTGCTTTAAATAGTGAATGTGCCCACTCTGGTACGTGCTCATAGCCAACAGGTCGCAGATACAGTGCGGGTATAGCCTTGATGAGATTATGTTTATTTGTCAAACAGCAGCCAAGCATTGATCATCATGTCACCAGAATATTTATTGGAATGGAGCATCAAGGTAATCACCGTGCACTTTCACCACCCTGTGAAGTATATCATTTACTTCATCTTTATGCTTTCCCGAATCGTAGTGGGAGGACCACGCAACAGATCTGCTGACTCCCAAGATTACTTTGGATTTATATTGATATTATAACCAATGTCAATCAGTTTTCCACGTTTTGATTTTGTTTGTAGAAATCACTTAAACAAAGATTGAACCAGTTTTTGCCCAGTGGGAAAGATCCAATATTGTCGAGCATTTTTGTGTACGTTTTTTGTAATTTAGCAGACGCTCTTATCCAGAGCGATTTACAGGAGCAATTAGGGTAAAGTGCCTTGCTCACGGGCACACCTACTGATTTTTCACCTAGTCGGCTCAGGGATTAGAACCAGCGACCTTTAGGTTACTGGCACAACGCTCTTAACCACTAAGCTACCTGCCGCCCTATTTTGTTTTGTCGACATTTGGAAAAACTGTCTGGCTACCTTTGCTAACAAACATACAGTGCAGATAAATACCTCAAATTCATTGTTTTACACAATATCTTATCACAGCACTGGCAAATCATGGTTGACCAACTCCCTGACCAAAATGGCTGACCTTTTATACCATCCATAAGAAGGGTCATGACCATTCTAGTATTCTAATTTCGAATTCTATGGTGCTAAGGTTCCACTCCTTGTCTAGCCAAACCCTGCCAAACTAATGCTGCGTTGAAAACAACTGGGAATTTGGAACTCGGAAATATTCGACCTCAGTGCGTTCACGACAATTGGGAACTCCGATTGTGAAAAATCGTTTTGAACGGTAATCCAACTCAGAAATTCCAAGTCGGGAACTCGGGCCTCTTTTTAGAGCTCTGGTTTAACAACCTGAAGATCATGACGTCATGATTTGACCTCGTGTTTTTTTCAGAGTTTGTATTGAAAGCACCAATAGGCTCAACGTTTGACATATGACATGGAGTACAAGGAGTGTAATGTTAGTGCAAACAGGTCTGGATTTCAGGTAGTTACATTTCTGTGTTCTCTGAATTGTAATAGACGCAATAGAGTACCACAGTATGAGTCATATTACCCATAAAACCGAGCGGTCAAACAGGAAATGGTTCCAATCGTTTTTCCACCATTCATTTTTTCCCATAGAGGATTTTAGAAACACTTAAAATAAGGGCTGTGTTTCGTGTAGGCTTACCCTGGAGTGACGTTTTGATAACCTTGTAAATCTCTCTAGGACAAGGTTACTTTTATCAATATATTTGCCTGCATTTACCCCCCCAAATGAAATGCTAATTAGCTGCTAATGTGGCTATTATAAATAACTACAAATGCCATGATGATCTGGACGAAACTGCCGAATCGACGCAAAGGTGAGAATGTGTGGATTAACTATGTTAGCTAAATGTAGTAATGAATAAATTGGCAACATTTCTTTTAAATGGACAATTCTGTGAACTGTCTTTGTACAAGTTTTAAATTGACACTAACTGTTAACAAAGGTGTCAGATGGAGATGATGTGTAGGAGCTTGCAGGGATTTGTAGTTTTGCACGATGTAAACATTTATGCTAATTAGCATGTTCAAATCGGGTACACACGTATTAATGAGGGCACACACTTCATATGTTGTGAAATCTGTTATGAATCTATTGTAATGTTTTTAAAATGTATAACTGCCTTCATTTTGCTGGACCCCCAGGAAGAGTAGCTGCTGCCTTTGCAGCAGGCAATGGGGATCCATAATAAATACAATACAAATAGAGCTGAAAATATTGATAAAAGTCACCTTGTCCGAGAGATTTACATGGTTATCAAAACGTCACTCCAGGGTAAGCCTACACGAAACACAGCCCTTATTTTAAGTGTTTCTAAAATCCCCTATGGAGAAAAAAATGAATGGTGGAAAAAAACGATTGGAACCATTTCCCTGTTTGACCGCTAGGTTTTATGGGTATTATGACACCTCCACTGTGTGGCTCTATTGCAATTCTTTGAGCTGCATCCAGCTACCCTTCATGTCAATATTCTGTTCTGAATTCCACTCTAGCACAGTAATAACAAGAGAGGCTATTCTAGCCTTCTGTTTTCATATACTGTACCTCAGAGGATGTTGATGGCACCTTAATTGGGGAGAACGGGCTCGTGGTAATGACTGGAGCGGAGTCAGTGGAATGGTATCTAATACATGGTTTCCAGGTGTTTGATGCCATTCCATTTGCTCCGTTCCGGCCATTATTATGAGCCGTCCTCCCCTCAGCAGCCTCCACTGGTCTACGTCCTGTAGCCATAGAAAGCACTGGCTGGAACAGGAACAGGAAACACAGTACTGGCTGGAACAGGAACAGGAAACACAGTACAGTAGGTCTGGAGGTGTGTGAAGTTGCTGACCATTGCTATTGAATTTCACAGCTTTGCTCAACATCTTTCTGCATCTGCAATACACTGTGATGAAACTATACATTTTTGGACTGTAGCAAATATATTAATGTTTATCTTATCTTTAACTCTGCGTTGTTGGAAAAGTACCCGTAAGTACGCATTTCACTGTTAAGTCAACACCTGTTGTCTACGAAGCATGTGACAAATACAATTAATCTATTCGTGTATTTGCAGATATTACCTGTTGCACATACGAAGGTCCAAGATAACGAGGTAGGTAAACGTTAACCGATATTTAAATATTTAACATTTTTGAGGCCTTTTTAAGCATTCTAGTACAGTTAAATAGTTGAAACAATGTGTCATATGTTCATTTGTTCAGTTAGGAACAGGTTGTTTAATAACTTGTAGATGAGAAAAATGACAAATCCATGAACGTATTTTTATCGCACAACAGATATTCATGACACAAATATTTTAGCTGCCCCCCGCGTTACAAAGATGGTTCAGTTGTGCGATAAAAATAGCTCTTCTTTCTAGCCAATATTGACTGTATAGAGAAACTTAAAAATGCTAGTTCTATAATATATATATATATATATATATATATAGCATAGAATATGCGCAATAATATATTTTGAACATTTGATACAGGAACATCTGATGAAATGCTTAAATAAAAAGTATATGTCTGTCTGTTAGGAGTTGAAGGAGAGCCTGCAGGTTCTGCTCACCACCAAGATAGCTGTGTACTTGATGACCTTCCTCATAGTGACCGTAGCATGGGCTGCTCATATCAGGTGAGGTCATATCAGGTCGGGATTATCATATGCCCCTGTTCAAATACTCCTTCGTTTCTTGTTTTCTTGAGGTAAGCACAAACCTAAGCCTACAGTGATTGGATAGGTGTAAGCAAGGTTACCACCGTATTAGTTTCACCACCCATAAAAACCAATTTAGAACTGCCACATTCCTGTAATAATATAATGTTTGGTGGCCATTTTGGAGATGATGGTCACGTTTTCCTCTCTCTCTCTTCGGTGTGTTTTTACAGGTTATTTCAAGTCATTGAACGTATTGATGACTGCCTTGCACTTCTCAACCTGGTAAGAAAATATGGTTCTCAAATCACAGCACACACAACCCTGCACACACACCCACATAACCCTGCATCACAGCCACACACCACAAAACCTGCATCACCACACCAAACCCTGCATCACAGCACACCACACAACCCTGCATCACAGCACACCACACCACACAACCCTGCATCACAGCACACCACATCAACCCTGCATCACAGCACACCACACACCACACAACCCTCACACACACACTCCCACACAACCGCATCACCACACCACACAACCCTGCATCACACACACCACATAACCCTGCATCACCACACCACACACCCTGCATCACAACACATCCACACCCACACAACCCTGCATCACACACACCACACACCCTGCCACACACACAACCCTGCATCACACCACACCACACAACCCTGTATCACAACACACCACACAACCCTGCATCACACCACACCACACAACCCTGCATCACAGCACACCACACAACCCTGCACCACACCACACCACACAACCTTGCATCACAGCACACCACACAACCCTGCCCACAACACAACCACAACCCTGCATCACAGCACCCACACCAACACCCACACAACCCTGCATCACAGCACACCACACAACCCTGCATCACCACACCACAAACCCGCATCACACACACCACCAACCCTGCATCACAGCACACCCACGCACACACACCACACAACCCTGCATCACAGCACACCACACAACCCTCTGCATCACAACACACAACCACACACAAAACCCTGCATCCACCACCACACACCTCATCACACACACCACCAACCCTGCTCACCACACAACCCTCATCACACACCACACAACCCCTGCATCACATCACAGCACACCACACAACCCTGCATCACACCACACCACACAACCCTGCATCACAGCACACCACACAACCCTGCATCACATCACACCACACCACACAACCCTGCATCACAGCACACACACACACCCTTGGTCAGGATATAGCATGAGAGCACCAGGCCAGTTAACTCACTAAACAGTTTCAACTTCTGTCATTGTAACGGTGGCATGATTCACCATGTAGTGAACCCATGTGATTTCTGTGTCAGCGTTCTGAGCTTTCCTTTTCTATTCCAGGCATGTATGATGCTGATCACCTTTCTGCCATACACAGTGAGTCTGAATCATGTTCGATCAGTCAGTCAGCGGGGATGTGAACTTTACGCTGACTGACTGACTGACTTACTGATAAGGGCCGGGACTATACCAGTATCGCAATATTTTTTCCATGGCAAAAATGAAAACACGAAGCAGAACGAACTCTTTGGTCCTTTAAAAACCTGCTGGATGTAATATATTGTGTGCTACAGCTTGGAAAATAAATACATGTGACTCTGGATGACAACATGTTTGTTTCCAACTTGGGGCTAAAGAAGTTACATCCGCGTTGTCTTTTGTTTCCTTGATATTATACTAACAAGTATCGCAATACTGGTATCGCCCCGACCCTACTTACTAGCTGACTGGCTGGTTGACTGGCTGGCCGACTGACTGGCTGGTTGACTGGTTGGTTGACTGGCTGGCTGCCTGACTGGTTGGTTGACTGGCTGGCTACCTGACTGGCTGGCTAGCTGGTTGACTGACTGGCTGGCCCGGCTAGCTGGTTGACTGACTGGCTGGCTACCTGACTGGCTGGCCCGGCTGACTGGCTGGCTGGTTGACTGGTTAGCTGCCTGACTGGCTGGCTAGCTGGTTGACTGGTTGACTGGCTGGCTGCTTGACTGGTTCGCTGACTGGCTGGCCGGCTGACTGGCTGGCTAGCTGGTTGACTGACTGGCTGGCCGACTGACTGGTTGGCTGACTGACTGGGTGGCTAACTGGTTGACTGTCTGGCTGCCTGACTGGTTGGATGACTAGTAGGAAATGTTTGATCAGAGATGAAATTGGGAGCTGCTGTCTGAACTTGTCCAATAAGAACACAGTCCCTGACACATTTGTTTTCCTCTGCAGTTCTCCCTCATGGCAACGTTTCCTGAGAACATCTTGGGAATCCTCCTGTTCTGTGCCTGTGTCATGGTGCTAGGCCTCATTCAGGTGAGAATACTGTGTGTGTGAGTGGAAATTCTGAACTCACAACCCTCCGCACCATTGCATGTTGTTTTTCTTGGTGTAATTACACAGTAAAACTATACTTGCAAATTTGAATCCCTTTGCTCCCTCCCTCCCCCTACTCCCCCCCCCCCCCTTCCCCCTCCCCCATCCCCCCCTTCCCCCCCCCCTCCCCCTCCTCCCTCCTCCCCCCCCACCTCACTCCCTCCCCACCCCCACCTCGCTCCCCCCCCCACTCTCCCTCCCTCCCTCCCCACCTCTCCCTCCCTACCTCCCCCCCCTCCTCCCTCCCTCCCTCCCTCCTCCCCTAACTTCCTCCCCCCCCACCTCCCCCCCCCCCCCCCCACCTCCCTCCTCCCTCCCCCCCCACCTCCTCCCCCCCCCCCACCTCCTCAACCTCCTCCCTCCCCCCCTCCCTCCCTCCCTCCCCCTACTTCCCTCCCTCCCCCTCCCTTCCTCTCCAGGCTGTTATAGTGGTGTATGGCTTCAGCCGTCCATTCCTGCTCAACGACCAGATCCAGGTGTCGGAGAACCATGTGTTCTATAAACACCACATCCTCAAGGTCATCATGAGGGTCCCCATCATGTGCTTCTTTGCTAGCATCTTCTCATTCATCTTCTTCCAGCTGGTATGTCAGTCCTTTTCTTTCCTTCTCTCCTCTTCCTCTTTTCTCTGCTTCTCCTCCCTTTTCCTTCTCTTGTCTTCTCTCCTCCTCCTCTCTTCTTTGGGACTAAAAAGTGAGGTGTGCACGGTAGGGGTGCACGATATATCGGTAAGCATATCGGAATCGGCCGATGTTAGCTAAAAACGCCGGCATCGGCTCTATGTGTAGTTTAACGCGGATGTTCAAAACCGATGTCAAAGCTGACGTGCATACCTGTATAACGTAGGTAGATGACGTATTGACGCCACGAAAAAAATACAACGCTGCACGTGCAACACAGCATTCCTAACCAAGCCCACAATGTCTGCTGTGTGGATCTATTCTGAAGTTTCAAAAGGAAGGTAACAGGAAGGCCATATGCAACGTTTGCGCTGCTATTATTTCCCGAGAAGGGGAGAAAGTGAAATCTTTCAATACCAGAAACCTAATTACTCATTTGAAAGTGCGTCACCCCGAGACGTTCAGCGACTACTTACAACGAAAGCAGAAAGAAAACTTAAGCTCACACTTCCAACAACTAAACAAGTTCAAGTCGAGCAGTCCTTTGGAAGAGTAAGAACATTTGGGCGAGACTCAAAGGCCAAATCCATTAACGGCAAGATAATGGAATTCATTGCCCTTGACATTCTACCTTTCTCTGTCGTGGATTTAAGTTGGCTTTCGCCGACTAGTCGAGGACCGGTACACACTACGAAGTAGGCGCTATTTTTCAGATGTTGCCCTACCGGAGTTGCACAGTATTGTTGAAACGTACATCCCATGAGCTACTTGCTGTGGGCGTCACCGCTATTAGCTTCACGACTGACATTTGGACCAGCGATGTCAGCCCCATGAGCATGCTGAGTCTGACAGCACAGTGGGTCGACGAGGATTTCGTACTGAGGAAAGCCGTATTGCATGCTCAAGAATGTGCTGGTTCTCATACCGCTACTGCCACTTCAATGGCATTTGAGAACATGTTTGAAACTTGGAAAATCCCCAAGAACAAAGTACACGCTGTGCTACGTTATCATGACAAAGGCTTTGGAAGAATGCGGAGTTGCCAGTTTGCCATGCATGGCACACACGCCAGTGGCAACAGGTAGGAAGATAGCGGGTCATTTTAAACACTCGCAGCTAGCATACAGCCGCCTGCAAGCAATACAGGAACAGTACTTTTTACATGATAGAGGGCCTGCTGAAACCAAAACGAGTGCTTGGCGTGTACGCAGCCGACTAATGAATTACCTGCAACAATCAGTACAAACCAGTGGACTCTCATTCGATGCAGACAAGAAACCGTGTTTAGGTGAAATGTTCCAGACACAGCTGGACAAGATGGAAACGGATACAGTGACCGTGTCACCGAGGAAGAGGAACCACGACAGAAGAGGCCACGGACAGACAGAACTGAAACTTCACTGCTCGACATGTATGATGAAATTCTGGTTGAGAACGGAACGACTGAACGACAAAACAGCACAGCAGCAACGAAACAGCACAGCAGCAAGTACGTGAAAGAAATAGGTTTTGATGATGTTTTACTGGGAATGGGGACACACGTAAATGCCAACAAAATAACCTTTTGGTCAGTGTGTGTGTGTGTATCTCTGTGAGAGAGACGCCTTGTATGTTCATTTTCTGTTACTACATCGGCCAACATTTGCCAACGTTGATCTATGCCTAATGGTCCTTTTGGAATGCAAGAATAATGCAATATGTTGTATTACATTTTAATTTCCTAAATGGAAGATGAGATGTTGTAAATTTGCTCGCATTTTACTAGTCAAGTCAGTTGAGCACATTTTGAAAAGTTTTAAGTTGTGCCATTTATAGCAGTTTATGACATAGCCTAGAGTCAGTAATTATTTCAAGCAGTTAAAGCTAAAGTGATTAACTGCATTTTAGTTTAAACCAATATTTATTTCAAAGCATTTTTAAGTTTCTCCATACAGTCAAGATTGGATAGTAAGAAGAGCCGCCAAAAACTTAACCATCTCTGTAACGCGGTGGGGGGGGAGCTAAAATATTTGTGTCATGAATATCTGTTGTGCGATAAAATACGTTCATGGATTTGTCATTTTTCTCATCTACAAGTTATTAAACAACCTGTTCCTAACTGAACAAATGAACCTATGACACTTTGTTTCAACAATTTAACTGTACTAGAATGCTTAAAAAGGCTGCAAAAATTTTAAATATCGGTTAACGGTATCGGGTTTTTTTTGGCAAAGAAAATATCGGTATCGGCCAAAAATGTCATATCGGTGCGTCCCTAGTGCACGGCAGAATTGTTACAACTACCCAGAACTCCATAGTCTCCTAGCGATAGTTTGTCACAAAAACCTGTACCATCTTTACATGTCTGTTATCTCTCTTATCACAGTCGTCAGTTCAACATCTAGTTTTGATTTACATTTGGTTGAGTTGTCAACTAACGTGAATTCAATGTGAAATCAACAAAACATTTCACCATGTCATTGGATTTAGGTTTAAAAGTAAAAAAAAAAAAAAAAAACAATGCCTTTACATTGACTTTTTTTGCAAATCCAATCAGTTTTACACGTTGATTCAACGTCATCGCATAGATTTCTTTGGTTGAAATGACGTGGGAACAACATTGATTCAACAAGTTTTTGCCCAGTGAGATCACTGTTTTTTTACAGTCTGCTTGTAAACTGCTTATGCACATAATTAATATAGTAATCGTTCAATCATCGGTCTTAGCAGAAACCTCTTGTAACAAGATGTTCTCCCGTTGTCTTTCAGTCCCGTGTCATACTAACGTTCTCCCGTTGTCTTTCAGTCCCGTGTCATACTAACGTTCTCCTCCCGTCTGTTTCCCGGTCTACTACCTTCGTCCCTTGTTCCTTTCAGTCCGTCATACAACGTTCTCCCTCCCGTTGTCTTTCAGTCCCGTGTCATACTAACGTTCTCCCGTTGTCTTTCAGTCCCGTGTCATACTAACGTTCTCCCGTTGTCTTTCAGTCCCGTGTCATACTAACGTTCTCCCGTTGTCTTTCAGTCCCGTGTCATACTAACGTTCTCCCGTTGTCTTTCAGTCCCGTGTCATACTAACGTTCTCCTCTCTCCGTTTTCTTTCAGTCCTTTCGTCCTCTAACGTTTCTCCCGTTGTCTTTCAGTCCCGTGTCATACTAACGTTCTCCCGTTGTCTTTCAGTCCCGTGTCATACTAACGTTCCCTCTTCGCCGTTTTCTTTGTCAGTCCCGTGTCATACTACGTTCGTCTCTTCCCGTTGTCTTTCAGTCCCGTGTCATACTAACGTTCTCCCGTTTCTTCAGTCCCTGTCTAATCCGTTTCCCGTGTCTCTAACGTCCCCGTGTCATTCAGTCCCGTTCCTACGTTGTCTTCTCCCGTGTCTTCATCCGTGTCTCTACTTCGTCTTCTCCTTACGTCATACTAACGTTCTCCTGTCTTCAGTCCTGCTCTACGTTTGTCTTTCAGTCCCGTGTCATACTAACGTTCTTTCCGTTGTCTTTCATTTCCTTCATACTAACGTTCTCCTTCCGTTGTCTTTCAGTCCTTGTGATCCTAGCCATCATAATCTTCCTGCCTTACATCTCCCAGTCTCTAAAATGGTGCCGCGCAAGCCTGTTGTCATAAGTTGTTAGATACATGGTCTAATGCTACGTTTGGTGAAATAAGGTTGAGTTTGTATACTTTTAATTTCCTAAATGAAGATGAGCTGTCTTTAAATTTTGCCTCGCATTTCCTAGTCAAGTCAGGCTGAGCAAAGTTTGAAGTTTAGTTTTAGACATGATTAATGCAGTTTATGACATAGCCTAGAGTCAGTAATTATTTCAAGCAGGTAAAGCTAAAGTGATTAACTGCATTTTAGTTTAAACAAATAACACAACAGTACAATGGTTGAAGAAGAGAGATTTAACTACCGTAATATCATAATATATTTGATTTGTAAGTTGAAGACTCTGCTGTTTTTACATCCGTGTGTTACACATGTTATGTTGATGTTACAGTGGCTTGCGAAAGTATTCAACCCCCTTGGCATTTTTCCGATTTTTTTTTGCCTTACAATCTGGAATTAAAATATATTTTTTGGGGGTTTGTATCATTTGATTTATACAACATGCCTACCACTTTGAAGATGCAAAATATTTTTTGGGGTGAAACAAACAAGAAATAAGACAAAAAAACAGAACTTGAGCGTGCATAACTATTCATCCCCCCCAAAGTCAATACTTTGTAGAGCCACCTTTTGCAGCAATTACAGCTGCAAGTCTCTTGGGGTATGTCTCTATAAGCTTAGCACATCTAGCCACTGGGATTTTTGCCCATTCTTCAAGGCAAAACTGCTCCAGGTCCTTCAAGTTGGATATGTTCCGCTGGTGTACAGCAATTGGATTGAGGTCTGGGCTTTGACTAGGCCATTCCAAGACATTTAAATGTTTCCCCTTAAACCACTCAAGTGTTGCTTTAGCATTATGCTTAAGGTCATTGTCCTGCTGGAAGGTGAACCTCCGTCCCAGTCTCAAATCTCTGGAAGACTGAAACAGGTTTTCCTCAAGAATTTCCCTGTATTTTGCGCCAACCATCATTCCTTCAATTCTGACCAGTTTCCCAGTCCCTGCCGATGAAAAACATCCTCTCAGCATGATGCTGCCACCACCATGCTTCGCTGTGGGGATGGTGTTCTCGGGGTGATGAGGGGTGTTGGGTTTGCAGCTCCTTCAGAGTTATCTGGTCTCTTTGTTGCATCTCTGATTAATGCCCTCATTGCCTGGTCCGTGTGTTTTGGTGGGCGGCCCTCTCTTGGCAGGTTTGTTGTGGTGCCATATTCTTTCAATTTTTTAAATAATGGATTTAATGGTGCTCCGTGGGATGTTCAAAGTTTCAGATATTTTTTTATAACCCAACCCTGATCTGTACTTCTCCACAACTTTGTCCCTGACCTGTTTGGAGAGCTCCTTGGTCTTCATGGTGCCGCTTGCTTGGTGGTGGCCCTTGCTTAGTGGTGTTGCAGACACTGGGGCTTTTCAGAACAGGTGTATATATACTGAGATCATGTGACAGATCATGTGACACTTAGATTGCACACAGGTGGACTTTATTTAACTAATTATGTGACTTCTGAATGTAATTGGTTGCACCAGATCTTATTTAGGGGCTTCATAGCAAAGGGGGTGAATACATATGCACGCACCACTTTTCCGTTATTTTATTTTTTTTGAATTCTTTGAAACAAGTAATTTTTTTCATTTCACTTCACCAATTTGGACTATTTTGTGTATGTCCATTACATGAAATCCAAATAAAAATCAATTTAAATTACAGGTTGTAATGCAGCAAAATGGGAAAAACGCCAAGGGGGATGAATACTTTTGCAAGTATGTTATGTTGATGTTACGTATAGTGTGTTATGTTGATGATATATACAAAAGTATGTGGACACCCCTTCAAAGTAGTGGATTCTGCTATTTCAGCCACACCCGTTGCTGACAGGTGTATAAAATTGAGCACACAGCCATGCAATCTCCATAGGCCAACATTGGCAGTAGAATGGCCTTACTGAATAGCTCAGTGACTTTCAACGTGGCACCGTCATAGGATGCCACCTTTCCAACAAGTCAGTCAACTGAAATGGGTTTCCATGGCCGAGCAGCCGCACACAAGCCTAAGATCACCATGCACAATGCCAAGCATCGGCTGGAGTGGTGTAAAGCTCGCCGCCATTGGACTCTGGAGCAGTGGAAACGTGTTCTCTGGAGTGATGAATCACGCTTCGCCATCTGGCAGTCCGACGGACGAATCTGGGTTTGGCGGATGCCAGGAGAACGCTACCTGCCCAAATGCATAGTGCCAACTGTAAAGTTTGGTGGAGGAGGAATAATGGTCTGGGGCTGTTTTTCATGGTTCGGGCTAGGCCCCTTAGTTCCAGTGAAGGGAAATCTTAATGCTACAGCATACAATGACATTCTAGATGATTCTGTGCTTCCAACTTTGTGGCAACAGTTTGGGGAAGGCCCTTTCCTGTTTCAGCATGACAATGCCCCCGTGCACAAAGCGAGGTCCATACAGAAATGGTTTGTCAAGATCAGTCTAGAGGAACTTGACTGGCATGCACAGAGCCCTGACCTCAACCCCATCTAACACTTTTGGGATGAATTGGATCGCAGACTGCGAGCCAGGCCTAATCGTCCCAACATCAGTGCCCGACCTCACTCATGCTCTTTGTGGCTGAATGGAAGCAAGTCCCCCGCAGCAATGTTTCCAACATCTAGTGGAACGCCTTCCCAGAAGAGTGGAGGCTGTTATAGCAGCAAAGAGGGGGGACCAACTCCATATTAATGCCCATGATTTTGGAATGAGATGTTTGACAAGCAGGCGTCCACATACTTTTGGTCATGTGGTGTATGTTATGTATGTTGATGTGCTGTTACCCCTCAGGCCAGGTGGAGGAGACGCCAGATTCCTTCCTGTTCTACACGTACCATCCCAATGAACCCCTCAGCAAGGAAAGGGTGGAGGCCTTCAGCGATGGAGTGTTTGCCATCGTGGCTACTTTACTCATCTTAGACATATGGTTAGTGTTATTCTCTATTTGGGTGGGCGGGCGGGCAGGCGGGCAGACGACAATGAAGAAGAATATTGTTGTAATTTTAAATGACGCTAATTTTTTAATGTTTATTTAAGCAGGGCGCCCTTCAAAAAGACGATGGTAAAGATGATGATCTCTGTCTCTCCAGTGAGGACAATGTACCTGACCCAGTGGTGGTCCAGAACCAGTACGGTGGGAGTCTGGTGGCTGCCCTGCAGGAATACGGTCCAGAGTACCTGGCCTACTTCGGCTCCTTCGCTACTGTGGCTCTCCTCTGGTTCGTCCATCACTCCCTCTTCCTTCACGTCACCAGGTAATGTAGAACAAATTCAATCCATCAGTTAAATGTATAAAGCTCTTTTTACATCAGCAGTTGTCAGGTCAAAGACAAAGAAAATTAACTTGAGTTTAGTGTACTATTGTGTATTTGGAAAAGTTTTACTCACAATGACTGTGCTTGTGTTACCTACCGGTACCTTAGTTGAATGCATGGACTGTGAGTCGCTCTGGATAAGAGTGTCTGCTATCTCTCTCTCTCTCTCTGTCTGTCTCTGTCTCTGTCTCTGTCTCTGTCTCTGTCTCTGTCTGTCTCTCTCTCTCTCTCTCTCTCTCTCTCTCTCTCTCTCTCTCTCTCTATCCAGGACCACTCGTTTCATGGGCCTCCTCAACACCTTCTCTCTGGCCTTCGTAGGGGGCCTGCCCTTGGCCTACCAGCTGACCCACGAGTTCCCCCGTAACTCCCGCAACGAGCTGGAGGCCATCCAGATCAGCTGCGTCATCATCTTCTTTGCCGGCGTCTTCCAGCTCGCCATCTGGGTGGCAGCGCTGTTCAGCGAGCGCGAGACACTGCACCCATACGTGCGCTACGGCGGCCGTGAGCACACCTTCATGTTGGCCAAGCTGGCTCTGTACCCGTGCGTGGCGCTGGGGACCTTCTTCCTCACCTGCTTTCTCAGTAAGTTCAGCGCGTCTATTTTCCACATGATGGAGATTACGGTGCCGTTTGCTTTCCTGTTGCTGAGGCTGCTGGTCAGAGGCGGGCTGGCGCTGCTACGGCTCGTATTCTGTCCTGATAGGCCGGAGACGAGGAGCGCTCTAGAGGAGGAGGAAGAGGAGGCTAGGATGCCCTTCAACGCCATGATCACTTAGTGGTGGTCCTTTAGCTAGATGATCAGATTAGCTCTGGGTCTGTATTCACACATGTTGCAGAGTAGGAGATGCTGATCTAGGCTCAGTATAGCAGTTTATATAATAATAGTATATAATGAATAAGATGATATGGACAAGGGGGGTACCTGATCCTAGATCCGCTTTGTGAATACAGGCTCTGGACTTGGGGACGTGGCCTGTAGGACAGATATACTGTAGCCACAGCTTGTCTTGACCTCTTAAGGGAGAGTTTGAGTTCCATTCCATTTGAACTTGTACTTTCGGTTTGAATCGATGAGTCGTTTTCTTTTCAAATTAGGTTGGGTAAGTCAAGTGAAATGGAATGGATGATTTGGAATGGAATTGATCCCACCCGTGGTCTCAAGGTAAGGTGGTAGGTAGGGAAATGGCACTGAGCCAGAGAGGTGGCGAGTACAACCAATGTAATTGACAGTTCTCCATTTTATAATTTGTATCTGACTTCTTGAATGATGATTTATTTTTGACCCTTGAATCTAGTCTGTTTGTGCCAACATTATACTCCAACAGGCACAGGGGTCGCGTTAGAGTTCAGAAATCTGCATTTTCAAAACGCAGACTTTACACAAACCTGCGTTTTCTTCAATAGAGTGATCAAGGGCGTGCTACTATAGTTTTCCTTCACAGAAAATACTTTAGTGCAGCATATTCACAAAATGGCTTCGTTTTCATCAGATGACAACAGAAGTGCAACGCTATTTGGCTGGCAGCCACACAAGTAAATGAGCTTACAATGAAAAAGCAAGCTTTTTTTTTTTTCCTAAAACAATGCATGGACATATTTCTGTTTATCATTTGAAAGAATGTAGGCGGCTACATTTCCTGATGTTTTTCTTTTAAGTTAATCTTGCATTTTACAGGAGAAAAGTACCAGAGGAAAGTAGCTCCACATCAGTAAGAGCTGTCTGCTGAATAAAACGCCCCTTGGTGAATTCCCGTCCGAGTGGAGAAGTGAAACTGAAGCACAAAATTAGTCTGAAAACGTGCAGAAATTACAATAAGAAGCATTTCTAGATCTGCGTTTATAAAAGTGTTTTATCTTCTTTTTTTTTTTTTTTGCATGAAAAACACTGAATTATGCATTAACGTGACCCCTGAGGCAAAGGAGTGAAATGTTAGCACAGACTTAGTTTCAAGCTAAGTTTATTTTTGGGTTTTCATTCATTCTGAATATTGCACAAAATCATCATCATGTCCACTTCCAACCTACTGTGGCAGATGAAATGGAAGTCCTCCCATGTACTGTCCATCTAACATACAGTACATATTGACCACCGAGTTTAATCACTGAGTAACATAATTTACAGGATTGTCAAATGTACAGTAATATCAAGTAACAAAGTATCAATTCTACAATCTTAAAAAAAAAAAAAAAAAAATGTATAACATCAATCCATGAGTGTTCAGCATGAATCTGACCAAGAGGGTAACTTCACTTTTCTCAGTTCTGAATACTATAATAACCGTCCACAGGAATGTACTCACATTAATGAGTTGGGTCAACTTATGTCAATATACTTACATTTAATGTGTTGGGTGAGCTCATAATATTGCACTTCTTATTTTACACAATGAAAATCCCTATGCTTGGGCATACACTACAAGACCTCTAAAATCTTAACAACTTGGAATTGCTCACATTTCCCGACATCCTTGTCCCAAGTCTTTCATTCCGTCCATCCTCAACCCCAGGATGTGGGTGCTCATGTTACACGATGATTCCCTTGTTGATCCTGCCCAGTGTTTCTCGGTTGTCATAGGACACACTCGGTTGTCATAGGACACACTCGGTTGTCATAGGACACACTCGGTTGTCATCCCGACACGCAAACAGTGAGCTGCTTTATTAGTGTACACATTATTATGTGCAGAAACAGATGGAGGCGCAGAATATGGACTATAAGAAATAATGATAAAATGAAAGTATATTTTTTTGGTGTCGTGTCATGGTGGAGTTCGTTTTGCATGGCCCGATTTGAGTGGATTTCACTTAAGGACCAATGGAATGGTCTAAAATGATGAAACGCTGCTCGTCGGGGGCACCGGGCCATGTAAAACGAACTCTCTCATTGAAAACGCAGCCGTGTTCTCTCCACAGCTCCACCAATCAGTCTCCCATCACCTCGGTTCTCACCGTGCGTGTTGTTGTTACTTTCCTCTTCCGACAGAATTGTTTTGGTCTCACATGCGGAGTTCTCATTGGCTATTGGCAGCAGACCTTGCCCAATCGCGTCGTAGCACTGCTCATACTACAAGATGCACAACCAACATTTCAGACGTCAGAAAATAAATCGGGACAGAGGTCTGGAGAACGGAACAGCCATCATCCGTGCGTCCTTAGACCCGCTCAAACTACTAAGAGTCCCGACGTACTGATGATCCTAACCCAAGTTCATAGGATTTCAACCCGGTCATGAAAAAATGTCTTGGACGGCAGAAACGTGTAGTGTATGCCCGGCATTAGCTGTGCACTTTTAGATTAGAATTGGAAAGGTCCCCATTTAAAATGATCAAGTAGCATTCTTTCTGCACTTATGCTAGTTTGTTACATTCTGAATTACATTTTTAAATTAAGTAAAAAGTAAGGTTAATTTGTGTGCATCAATTGTGAATAGCCATTCTCATCCGTTCAGACATGTTGTACTCGGAGTAGATTCATTTCTTGGCCATGTAACATCAAACCATAGTATGACATACAATGAAATTACCAACCCACTCAAGACATGGTTGCAGACAGTGATTTATTTAATATAGATGTTTAATGTTACATTAGATTGAAATGTAAAACGGTTTTCTTTGCAATTTTCTGGATGTGATGATGTTTATTTTCCTATAAGGTCACTGTTATTCAAAATATCATTAAGTTACAATGTTATTGCTGCAATACTGTTTGATTTGTGTTTGACGTTGAAAAAGCACTTTAATTCAGAATGCTTCAGTGTTGTCTGCTTAGAGCTCAAATAAGGGATCAAATGTAATCTCTGTTAACCCAGAACTAATGTCTTGCGTAATTTGTCAGCTGCTTGAAGTTCTGGGTCCATACGTGTTAAAAATAAGGAGCTGAACCGGAACGAGAAGCTCCTCCCGTTCTCTTTGCAAGTTACATGCCGAATGTCCCCTCCCCATCCGAACACCTGCAAAATCGTGATTTGTCTAAATAACTTGTGATGGAAAAACCCGAACACCGGAACCGCTGCTGCTCCGTTCCAATTCTACAGTACCAGTTATGTTTATGTAGATCTGTTCTCGAGAGATTAAAGCTATACGAGTGCTGTGTCACTCATCGCTAACACTGCAAGTTCAATGTCCAATTGCAAGTCCTTTTTTAATATAATCAATAAACTGCTTTAAAAAAAAAGGCACAATCTGTCAGTTTATTTTTCTTTGAAAATAAATAATGTACTAATCTTTCATCCAGAGGACTGATCTGGGATCAGATCCCCCCCTAAAATGCAAAATGGATCCTTGATCAGCACTCACGCTCAGTCCACAGAAGAGGACAGTTATTATTTCTATATGGGAAAGAAGCCAGGAAGCACAACAAAATGTACTTCTGGAGGAAATAAATTAAATGCGTAAAAACCCGGAGGAGAATCAAAGGAAGCAAGCGTTTCAGACCGTGCTTTGGTAAACGTTTGGTAAAGTTTCTCTCTCTGCTAATCAGAAGAGATGAAGGGTTGGATTCATTCAGACACGATGGGAAAAAAATTCCAGTGCAAAAAAAAAAAAAAAAAAAAGCACCCTTTTCATTAAATGATTACATTCAATGTGAGTTTCTGATTATTTTTTAACCAGTAAACATTGTTTATCAATCACGACTTGTTTTTCATGCAAGGTGGTCATTTTTTTCCACAGTGCAGATTTTCCTGTACTGTGTGTTTGATTGAATACCAGCCCAACACAGAAATCCCATCCATATCATGCCTTTATATATTCAATTCAACTTTGGCATATTAAAGATAAAATATTGCTGAAAGATAAAACTACTCTTCTGAATATAATATACTTTATATAAACTACCGTTCAAAAGTTTGGGGTCATTTAGAAATGTCCTTGTTTTCGAAAGAAAAGCATTTTTACTCTACATGAAAATAACATCAAATTGATCAGAAATACAGTGTAGACATTGTTAATGTTGTAAATGGCTATTGTAGTTGGAAACTGCAGATTTTTAATTGAATGTCTACATAGGCGTAGAGGCCCATTATCAGCAACCATCAGTCCCTGTGTTCAAATGGCACGTTGTGTTTGCTAATCCAAGTTTATCATTTTAAAAGGCAAATTGATCATTAGAAAACCCTTTTGCAATTATGTCAGCACAGCTGAAAAATGTTGTGCTGATTTAAAGAAGCAATAAAACTGGCCTTCTTGAGTATCTGGAGCATCAGCAATTGTGGGTTCGATTACAGGCTCAAAATGGCCAGAAACTCGTCAGTCTATTCTTGTTCTGAGAAATGAAGGCTATTCAAAAAGTACCACCTAGCTACCTATTCAACCACAGTTTATTAATGCTATTGCTACAGATTAATAATAACATACCATTGTATTGCATATCATTTTCATATCTTAAAGTGTTATAATAGTATATTTTTGACAAGTCACAGATTTTATATTAGGTCTTGTTCAGCTAAATATATTACATTCTATGTACAGTACTACATTGACACAGTGTAGTAGTGTGTGCATTGGTTGGTATGCGTATGATAGTTGCTGCTAGGGTTGCCAATATCCCCAAATTCCCAGAAATCCTGGTTATGCCCTCCTGATTCTGGGAATATTCCAACTAGGATTTCTGGAAGACTTGGTAATTTTGCAACCCTAGTTGCCGCTTTCTTTACAGTGATCCATACCTACCGACATATAGTGAGGGGAAAAAAGTATTTGATCCCCTGCTGATTTTGTACGTTTGCCCACTGACAAAGACATGATCAGTCTATAATTTTAATGGTTGGTTTATTTGAACAGTGAGAGACAGAACAACAACAACAAAATCCAGAAAAACGCATGTCAAAAATTTTATAAATTGATTTGCATTTTAATGAGGGAAATAAGGATTTGACCCCTCTGCAAAACATGACTTTGTACTTGGTGGCAAAACCCTTGTTGGCAATCACAGAGGTCAGACGTTTCTTGTAGTTGGCCACCAGGTTTGCACACATCTCAGGAGGGATTTTGTCCCACTCCTCTTTGCAGATCTTCTCCAAGTCATTAAGGTTTCGAGGCTGACGTTTGGCAACTCGAACCTTCAGCTCCCTCCACAGATTTTCTATAGGATTAAGGTCTGGAGACTGGCTAGGCCACTCCAGGAACTTAATGTGCTTCTTCTTGAGCCACTCCTTTGTTGCCTTGGCCGTGTGTTTTGGGTCATTGTCATGCTGGAATACCCATCCACGACCCATTTTCAATGCCCTGCCTGAGGGAAGGAGGTTCTCACCCAAGATTTGACGGTACATGGCCCCGTCCATCGTCCCTTTGATGCGGTGAAGTTGTCCTGTCCCCTTAGCAGAAAAACACCCCCAAAGCATAATGTTTCCACCTCCATGTTTGACGGTGGGGATGGTGTTCTTGGGGTCATAGGCAGCATTCCTCCTCCTCCAAACACGGCGAGTTGAGTTGATGCCAAAGAGCTCCATTTTGGTCTCATCTGACCACAACACTTTCACACAGTTCTCCTCTGAATCATTCAGATGTTCATTGGCAAACTTCAGACGGGCCTGTATATGTGCTTTCTTGAGCAGGTGGACCTTGCGGGCGCTGCAGGATTTCAGTCCTTCACGGCGTAGTGTGTTACCAATTGTTTTCTTGGTGACTATGGTCCCAGCTGCCTTGAGATCATTGACAAGATCCTCCCTTGTAATTCTGGGCTGATTCCTCACCGTTCTCATGATCATTGCAACTCCACGAGGTGAGATCTTGCATGGAGCCCCAGGCCGAGGGAGATTGACAGTTTTTTTGTGTTTCTTCCATTTGCGAATAATCGCACCAACTGTTGTCACCGTCTCACCAAGCTGCTTGGTGATAGTCTTGTAGCCCATTCCAGCCATGTTTAGGTCTACAATCTTGTCCCTGACATCCTTGGAGAGCTCTTTGGTCTTGGCCATGGTGGAGAGTTTGGAATCTGATTGATTGATTGCTTCTGTGGACAGGTGTCTTTTATACAGGTAACAAGCTGAGATTAGGAGCACTCCCTTTAAGAGTGTGCTCCTAATCTCAGCTCGTTACCTGTATAAAAGACACCTGGGAGCCAGAAGTCTTTGATTGAGAGGGGGTCAAATACATATTTCCCTCATTAAAATGCAAATCAATTTATAACATTTCTGACATGCATTTTTCTGGATTTTGTTGTTGTTATTCTGTCTCTCACTGTTCAAATAAACCTACCATTAAAATTAGACTGATCATTTCTTTGTCAGTGGGCAAACGTACAAAATCAGCAGGGGATCAAATACTTTTTTCCCTCACTGTATCTATAGCATGAGGTCAAGTGTCAATACCTACAGACATACAGTGGGGAAAAAAAGTATTTAGTCAGCCACCAATTGTGCAAGTTCTCCCACTTAAAAAGATGAGAGAGGCCTGTAATTTTCATCATAGGTACACATCAACTATGACAGACAAAATCACATTGTAGGATTTTTAATGAATTTATTTGCAAATTATGCAAATTATCTTCACAAGGTTTTCACACACTGTTGCTGGTATTTTGGCCCATTCCTCCATGCAGATCTCCTCTAGAGCAGTGATGTTTTGGGGCTGTCGCTGGGCAACATGGACTTTCAACTCCCTCCAAAGATTTTCTACGGGGTTGAGATCTGGAGACTGGCTAGGCCACTCCAGGACCTTGAAATGCTTCTTACGAAGCCACTCCTTCGTTGCCCGGGCGGTGTGTTTGGGATCATTGTAATGCTGAAAGACCCAGCCACGTTTCATCTTCAATGCCCTTGCTGATGGAAGGAGGTTTTCACTCAAAATCTCACGATACATGGCCCCATTCCTTCTTTCCTTTACACGGATCAGTCGTCCTGGTCCCTTTGCAGAAAAACAGCCCCAAAGCATGATGTTTCCACCCCCATGCTTCACAGTAGGTATGGTGTTCTTTGGATGCAACTCAGCATTCTTTGTCCTCCAAACACGACGAGTTTCGTTTTTACCAAAAAGTTCTATTTTGGTTTCATCTGACCATATGACATTCTCCCAATCCTCTTCTGGATCATCCAAATGCACTCTAGCAAACTTCAGACGGGCCTGGACATGTACTGGCTTAAGCAGGGGGACACGTCTGGCACTGCAGGATTTGAGTCCCTGGCGGCGTAGTGTGTTACTGATGGTAGTCTTATGTTACTTTGGTCCCAGTTCTCTGCAGGTCATTCACTAGGTCCCCCCGTGTGGTTCTGGGATTTTTTCTCACCGTTCTTGTGATCATTTTGACCCCACGGGGTGAGATCTTGCGTGGAGCCCCAGATCGAGGGAGATTATCAGTGGTCTTGTATGTCTTCCATTTTCTAATAATTGCTCCCACAGTTGATTTCTTCAAACAAAGCTGCTTACCTATTGCAGATTCAGTCTTCCCAGCCTGGTGCAGGTCTACAATTTTGTTTCTGGTGTCCTTTGACAGCTCTTTGGTCTTGGCCATAGTGGAGTTTGGAGTGTGACTGTTTGAGGTTGTGGACAGGTGTCTTTTATACTGATAACAAGTTCAAACAGGTGCCATTAATACAGGTAACGAGTGGAGGACAGAGGAGCCTCTTAAAGAAGAAGTTACAGGTCTGTGAGAGCCAGAAATCTTGCTTGTTTGTAGGTGACCAAATACTTATTTTCCACCATAATTAGCAAATAAATTCATTAAAAATCCTACAATGTGATTTTCTGGATTTTTTTTTCTCATTTTGTCTGTCATAGTTGACGTGTACCTATGATGAAAATTACAGGCCTCTCTCATCTTTTTAAGTGGGAGAACTTGCACAATTGGTGGCTGACTAAATACTTTTTTCCCCCACTGTATCTATAGCATGAGGTCAAGTGTCAATAGAACCTAAACTAGTTCAGCTGAAATGAACGACAGGACTTAAGAACATGCTAAATGTTTTAGACGTTATTTTTGTATATGTTGAAGTGAAGACAATTATCTCTGATATAGACAGACAGATCATACCTACATATTAAACAACAACCATGCCCAAGTCAAATGTGTTTTAGTATCTTGACAACATGTTGGGGCAGCGTACATACGTCCAAAAACGTTTTCATTTGTGCACACCGTAGCAAAACATTACGGAAACGGAAAATGAAAAACAGCCGTTTCATATTGGACGAATTCAGGTCGGTTCCCTCCCTGTTTCGGTCAGTTTTCTTTGCTTTGGTGTCTAGTGAATATGAGCCTGCTGTTGCTCTTCAGTTCGGCTGAAATCACTGCAATAATCTCCATCCATCCACAGGGAAACCGCCAGCCAGTCACTGTCCCTTACAGTACGTTATGAAACAAACCATCTGTGTTCTTAGCTAGGATCAATTTTGTTTCTTCAGAGCAACGCAGCCTTTAAGTCTTTAAAAATGTTACTGCTGCTAGTTAGCCTGGTAGCATTACGGTTGCTTGCTGTAGTTTGTTGGTGCTCATGCAGGTCCCAGCGGTAGCTGTGAAGTCTGAAAGTATTGTTGTTGTTATTTGTAAGGGTAACACCTTAGTTCACAGTAATGAGGACTGGTTAAAAGAACAAGAAAAGAAAAAAACTGACGCTGGGCAGATGAGTGTCTGGAAGAAGTTGCAGGCCACACACAAGCAGCCAAAGACAATTTCTCTCAGACACACTACTCTCTCTTGCTTGTGTGGGCTACATGGGGTCCGTGGCAGCAGGGGGCAGTATTCCCCTGTCTCTCAGGCGGTCTCTCATGGTGAAGAAGACACTCAGCTGCTGCTTTGGCTGCAGGACCAACAGCTGCTGTAACACCTTGCTGGGGTTGGGTCCCCTGGAACATAGACATCACATCTCGTTAACATCACATCTCGTTAACATCACATCTCGTTAACATCACATCTCGTTAGTGCTGAGCGATTAGTGCTTTTTGGAGGTCCGTTTTTGGTTTGATTATTTAAAAAATAAATCACGTTTTATATTTCGATTATTTTTTGCAAACATTAAATGCACTATGCGTTATGTGGGTTGAATGCTGTAACACAGAATAAAATAAAAGTCCCATGATGGTAGTGACTGCCCATTACTGCTTATCACTTATTAACCATCAGTTATTCACATTACTTTACTTTAATAAAATGTTTGTTTTATCTGATGACTTTATTATTTCATTCCAAGTCATCATCTCATCTCTACAGAGCTGCTGTCTGACTAAATCACTATCTTAGTAGTTCTTCAAAGTAAATAAGGCAGACTTTTATGACTGCTGAACACCAACTATCAATCACTTAGATTATGTATTTTCAGGTGGAGATACCTTGAAGAAACGGCTCTCTATGCATCACCTCTCTTCTGTCCCTTATGTAGCAGGCGTAAAATAAACACAGACCGGACAAGCAGCCGCGCTAAAGATTACGGTTATTGTAGTTAATTATCACGTTTACTGTGCTAAACTATGTAGAATATTGGCCTGTTGGAAACTACAACTCCATACTACATCGCACAGTTCGGGCTGGATGTGATTATCTCTAGAGAAACTGGGATGTGATTATCTCTAGAGAAACTGGGATGTGATTATCTCTAGAGAAACTGGGATGTGATTATCTCTAGAGAAACTGGGATGTGATTATCTCTAGAGAAACTGGGATGTGATTATCTCTAGAGAAACTGGGATGTGATTATCTCTAGAGAAAACTGGGATGTGATTTTCTCTAGAGAAACTGGGATGTGATTATCTCTAGAGAAACTGGGATGTGATTATCTCTAGAGAAACTGGGATGTGATTATCTCTAGAGAAACTGGGATGTGCTCATTGAGCTCACAGAAGAAAAACTGAACGAAATGGAATTCAAATAACTGAACAAATGTCGGTAAATTAGTTGTTTAAAAACCTAAAAATAACTGACATTTCGGTTAATCACTCAGCACATAACAGGGTCAGCCATAATAACTAACTACCAATAACCTATCAAACCACAAGGCAGGGTCAGCCATAATAACTAACTACCAATAACCTATCAAACCACAGGGCAGGGTCAGCCATAATAACTAACTACCAATAACCTTTTTTAACCAGGGCAGGGTCAGCCATAATAACTAACTACCAATAACCTTTTATTAAACCACAGGGCAGGGTCAGCCATAATAACTAACTACCAATAACCTATCAAACCACAGGGCAGGGTCAGCCATAATAACTAACTACCAATAACCTATCAAACCACAGGGCAGGGTCAGCCATAATAACTAACTACCAATAACCTATCAAACCACAGGGCAGGGTCAGCCATAATAACTAACTACCAATAACCTTATCAAACCACAGGGCAGGGTCAGCCATAATAACTAACTACCAATAACCTATCAAACCACAGGGCAGGGTCAGCCATAATAACTAACTACCAATAACCTTATCAAACCACAGGGCAGGGTCAGCCATAATAACTAACTACCAATAACCCTATCAACCACAGGGCAGGGTCAGCCCACCCACAGGGCAGGGTCAGCCATAATAACTAACTACCAATAACCCTCTATCAAACCACAGGGCAGGGTCAGCCATAATAACTAACTACCAATACCTCTATCAAACCACAGGGCAGGGTCAGCCATAATAACTAACTACAATAACCTCTATCAAACCACAGGGCAGGGTCAGCCATAATAACTAACTACCCAATAACCTCTATCAAACCACAGGGCAGGGTCAGCCATAATAACTAACTACCAATAACCTATCAAACCACAGGGCAGGGTCAGCCATAATAACTAACTACCAATAACCTATCAAACCACAGCGCAGGGTCAGCCATAATAACTAACTACCAATAACCTATCAAACCACAGGGCAGGGTCAGCCATAATAACTAACTAACCAATCCAAAAACTTATCAAACCACAGGGCAGGGTCAGCCATAATAACTAATACCAAAATCCAAACCACAGGGCAGGGTCAGCCATAATAACTAACTACCAATAACCCTCTATCAAACCACAGGGCAGGGTCAGCCATAATAACTAACTACCAATAACCTTCTATCAAACCACAGGGCAGGGTCAGCCATAATAACTAACTACCAATAACCTTCTATCAAACCACAGGGCAGGGTCAGCCATAATAACTAACTACCAATAACCTATCAAACCACAGGGCAGGGTCAGCCATAATAACTAACTACCAATAACCTATCAAACCACAGGGCAGGGTCAGCCATAATAACTAACTACCAATAACCTATCAAACCACAGGGCAGGGTCAGCCATAATAACTAACTACCAATAACCTATTAAACCACAGGGCAGGGTCAGCCATAATAACTAACTACCAAAAACCTATCAAACCACAGGGCAGGGTCAGCCATAATAACTAACTACCAATAACCTATTAAACCACAGGGCAGGGTCAGCCATAATAACTAACTACCAATAACCTATCAAACCACAGGGCAGGGTCAGCCATAATAACTAACTACCAATAACCTTTTATCAAACCACAGGGCAGGGTCAGCCATAATAACTAACTACCAATAACCTATCAAACCACAGGGCAGGGTCAGCCATAATAACTAACTACCAATAACCTATCAAACCACAGGGCAGGGTCAGCCATAATAACTAACTACCAATAACCTATCAAACCACAGGGCAGGGTCAGCCATAATAACTAACTACCAATAACCTATCAAACCACAGGGCAGGGTCAGCCATAATAACTAACTACCAATAACCTTTTATTAAACCACAGGGCAGGGTCAGCCATAATAACTAACTACCAATAACCTATCAAACCACAGGGCAGGGTCAGCCATAATAACTAACTACCAATAACCTATCAAACCACAGGGCAGGGTCAGCCATAATAACTAACTACCAATAACCTATCAAACCACAGGGCAGGGTCAGCCATAATAACTAAATTAAGTGGAGCCAGTTCAGAAGGGAAACCCAGAGTGCCCCGCTTCAGGCTGAGATGGCATCAATTAGGAGGTTAGTATCAATCACAACCTACCTTATTGGCTGTCTATTTAACTGACCGGGTCTGCTGATCCTGCTGCCACTTGATGCTACTGCTACTATGAACTGGCTTCGTGTTCTGCTGTGTTTCTAGATGTTTCTCTCTATGCTGCTGTGTTTCTAGATGTTTCTCTCTCTATGCTGCTGTGTTTCTAGATGTTTCTCTCTATGCTGCTGTGTTTCTAGATGTTTCTCTCTCTATGCTGCTGTGTAACTAGATGTTTCTCTCTATGCTGCTGTGTTTCTAGATGTTTCTCTCTCTATGCTGCTGTGTAACTAGATGTTTCTCTCTATGCTGCTGTGTAACTAGATGTTTCTCTCTATGCTGCTGTGTTCTGACATAATGAAGCTCATCTTGCCTCAAGTAAGGGTAGCCGGCGGTACGCTACTTGGTTAACATAACCACATAGTATTCATCTTGTGATGGTAGGTTTACTTTAAACGGTGCTCGGGCCTAGCTACACACAGTCTGCTGGCGTAGGCTTCTGCTGTTTTGGGGGATTGGTATAGCTCACTACCTGTAGGCTATTTTATATTGATGCTTTGCTTTAGCAGTGAGCTACCCTGATGCAGCAGAACCTAGAGATCGCCAAGACTTGCATTATTCATTGCATAATAAACGGTTAAACATATTTCTACGTGGCGTTTTCTTTCTGAACTACCATTAACCTCTTATCAAACCACGGGACAGGCAGTTTCATTGTTAACATCTTACTGGGTTGGGACTCCAGGAACAGATGAAAATGAGACCAGTCAACACCACAGGACAGTCAGCCATCTTATAGAAAGAGTGTTTTTCCCTACTCCTATTTTAATGGCTGTGTTAATGTGACGACCCTTACCCGATGAAGCTGGCTGTGTTAATGTGACGACCCTTACCCGATGAAGCTGGCTATGTTAATGTGACGACCCTTACCTGATGAAGCTGGCTATGTTAATGTGACGACCCTTACCCTGATGAAGCTGGCTATGTTAATGTGACGACCCTTACCTGATGAAGCTGGCTATGTTAATGTGACGACCCTTACCCTGATGAAGCTGGCTATGTTAATGTGACGACCCTTACCCTGATGAAGCTGGCTATGTTAATGTGACGACCCTTACCCTGATGAAGCTGGCTATGTTAATGTGACGACCCTTACCTGATGAAGCTGGCTATGTTAATGTGACGACCCTTACCCTGATGAAGCTGGCTATGTTAATGTGACGACCCTTACCTGATGAAGCTGGCTGTGTTAATGTGACGACCCTTACCCTGATGAAGCTGGCTATGTTAATGTGACGACCCTTACCCTGATGAAGCTGGCTATGTTAATGTGACGACCCTTACCCTGATGAAGCTGGCTATGTTAATGTGACGACCCTTACCCGATGAAGCTGGCTGTGTTAATGTGACGACCCTTACCCGATGAAGCTGGCCGTGTTAATGTGATGACCCTTACCCGATGAAGCTGGCTGTGTTAATGTGACGACCCTTACCTGATGAAGCTGGCTATGTAAACGTGAGTGAAGGTAGCCATCAGATACTGACAGTCGAAGCGATCCATGATGCCTCCGTGACCAGGGATGGTGTCTGCAAAGTCCTGACAGGAGAGAGAGAGAGATGTTATTACAGAGAAAGTCCTGAGAGAGAGAGAGATAAGTTATTACAGAGAGAGAAGTTATTACAGAGAGAGATGTTATTACAGAGAAATCACAGATTGTGTCTTTAAGGTATCAATGGAACTCATCCTGCACAAATATTTAGCTAAATAAACAAACATAGCCAAACGTGGCCTGCCTGTGTGTGTGTGTTCTCACTTTGATCTTGAAGGCTCGTTTGAAGCCGCTGGCGAAGAATCCTCCAAAGGGACCAATCAGAGAGCCGAAGGTGGAGAGCGCCACGCTGTGGATCTGGTATGGGTACAGGTTCACCGTTTTCTGTAGAGACGTAGACACAGACAGACAGACAGACAGACACGTTGTTTAGGGTTTCCCATCGGATTCACTAAAACAAAGTACCACTATGTATTGGGCACCAGCTAATTAGTAAACAGCTAATTAGTAAATGTTTGAACAACGTAGTAAATACAACTCAGTATTTGACCATGTCTAAAACACAACAACAACAGGCTCTCCTCTCTCGGTCTCCCACCCTCACCAGACCAGTAAACAGACCCGTCTACCTAGTAGTGCCTCAGCCATCTAGTAGCACATGAAAACCGTATATTGGAATTCTTGTTCACTACTTGTCAGAGCAGGGATGCGCCCCAAATGGCACCCTGTTCCCTACGTAGTGCACTACTGTTGACCAGAGCCCATAGGGAATAGGGCTCCAGGTAACTTAGTGGTTAAGAGCGTTGTGCCAGGAACCGAAAGGTCGCTGGTTCTAATCCCCGAGCCGACTAGGTGAAACAGCTGGTCGATGTGCCCTTGAGCAAGGCACTTAACCCTAATTGCTCCTGTAAGTCACTCTGGATAAGAGCGTCTGCTAAATGACAAAAATTAATAATAATTGGGACAGGATTGCTGTGATTTAGCATAAAGCATTCAGTCTAGTGGTGCTGACATTCTCTTAACATCAGATTCTTTTAAACCCTGGTGGCTAAAACCAGACGCACCTATAGGCCTCAAAACTTTCCCAAAATGTCCTGGCTTTCCCAGTTGGATGATTTCTGGGACCAGCAAGGAATAAGCTGCCGAGGGACTACTCCTCCAAAACTGGAATTCTTCAACTGGGATTTCTGGAAAAATTTGGGAATTTTGGGAATGTTTCAGGAATTTTGCAACCCTTTCCTTACCCATGTGAGGATGTCCTGGACAGTGGAGGGCAACGTGTACTGGTGCATCACAAAGATGTCTGAGGGTTCACACTCCGCAGTGAAGCGGTTGGTCTCACTGTTGTACTCCACAGGACAGACAAAGTACTGGAACTGCGCTAGCAGGTAGGCCAGCTGGGGGAAACGCAGCAGGGAACAACGAGGAGCCATGTTATTACACGCTGTAATGTAACGAGGAGCCATGTTATTACACGCTGTAATGTAACGAGGAGCCATGTTATTACACGCTGTAATGTAACGAGGAGCCATGTTATTACACGCTGTAATGTAACGAGGAGCCATGTTATTACACGCTGTAATGTAACGAGGAGCCATGTTATTACACGCTGTAATGTAACGAGGAGCCATGTTATTACACGCTGTAATGTAACGAGGAGCCATGTTATTACACGCTGTAATGTAACGAGGAGCCATGTTATTACACGCTGTAATGTAACGAGGAGCCATGTTATTACACGCTGTAATGTAACGAGGAGCCATGTTATTACACGCTGTAATGTAACGAGGAGCCATGTTATTACACGCTGTAATGTAACGAGGAGCCATGTTATTACACGCTGTAATGTAACGAGGAGCCATGTTATTACACGCTGTAATGTAACGAGGAGCCATGTTATTACACGCTGTAATGTAACGAGGAGCCATGTTATTACACGCTGTAATGTAACGAGGAGCCATGTTATTACACGCTGTAATGTAACGAGGAGCCATGTTATTACACGCTGTAATGTAACGAGGAGCCATGTTATTACACGCTGTAATGTAACGAGGAGCCATGTTATTACACGCTGTAATGTAACGAGGAGCCATGTTATTACACGCTGTAATGTAACGAGGAGCCATGTTATTACACGCTGTAATGTAACGAGGAGCCATGTTATTACACGCTGTAATGTAAAGTACTACCACTGTCATAGCACGTTTATTTACTTTTACTCACTATGAATCCAAAGACCAGGGTTCCGAAGAACCCTCCTATGAAACCCTCCCACGTCTTCTTAGGAGACAGCTGTAATAAAAATATATACACATTTTAAATTTGTAACGTGTGTTATGCCAATTATTGATTTCTTTCTATGAAGTCTTTTTAAATTCAATAAATGTTTTTTTTTTTATTGGGAATCCACTTATGAACTGGGAGTACAGAAACTAAATAGAGAGTACGAGGAGCCAGATACACGAACAGTTTAAGATACACGAGGAGCCAGTTTACACGGGATGAACAGCTGTAACAAGGGATTGACACAGCCCTGTAGAACAGGGAGCACAGGCTTACACGGGATGAACAGGCCTTATACAGGTGAAGGGTAACAGGGAGACCAGTTCACACAGGAGCCAGTTTCACACAGGATGAAAGTTAAAGGGAGACACAGTCATTACACGGGTGAGCTTAAAGTGATACCACGTCCCACACGTGTATTACTTTCACACAGATCGCCCAGCGTTCCGAAGGAGACCATCTCCAGATGAAACAGCCTTCACACAGGAGACACTGTATCAAAATACACACATTTACAAGGGTGACACGGCTTAGCCAATTACAGTTCTTCACTATGAAGCTTTAACAATGAACATGTCTTTCACTTAGGTATGGAACAGTCTCTCAACAGGGATGACACAGGCCTTCAACAGGGATGACACAGGCCTTCACACAGGGATGACACAGCCCTTCACACAGGGATGACACAGGCCTTCACACAGGATGACACAGTCCTTCACACAGGGATGACACATGCCTCTCACACAGGTGATGACACAGTCCATTCACACAGGGATGACACAGTCCTTCACACAGGGATGACACAGTCCTTCACACGGGGATGACACAGGCCTTCACACAGGGATGACACAGTCCTCACACAGGGATGACACAGTCCTTCACACAGGGATGACAGTCTGTCACACAGGGATGACACAGTCCTTCACACAGGGATGACACAGGCCTTCACACAGGGATGACACAGGCCTTCACACAGGGATGAACACAGCCTCACACAGGGATGACACAGGCCTTCACACAGGGATGACACAGTCCTTCACACAGGGATGACACAGGCCTTCACACAGGGATGACACAGTCCTTCACACAGGGATGACACAGTCCTTCACACAGGGATGACACAGTCCTTCACACAGGGTGACACAGTCCTTCACACAGGGATGACACAGGCCTTCACACAGGGATGACACAGTCCTTCACACAGGGATGACACAGGCCTTCACACAGGGATGAACAGTCTTCACACAGGGATGACACAGCCTTCACACAGGGATGACACAGCCTTCACACAGGGATGACACAGTCCTTCAGACAGGGATGACACAGGCCTTCACACAGGGATGACACAGTCCTTCACACAGGGATGACACAGTCCTTCACACAGGGATGACACAGTCCTTCACACAGGGATGACACAGTCCTTCACACAGGGATGACACAGGCCTTCACACAGGGATGACACAGTCCATCACACAGGGATGACCAGTCCATCACACAGGGATGACACAGCCTTCACACAGGGATGACACAGTCCTCACACAGGGATGACCAGTCCTTCACACAGGGATGACACAGTCCTTCACACAGGGATGACACAGGCCTTCACACAGGGAGACACAGTCCTTCACACAGGGATGACACAGTCCATCACACAGGGATGACACAGCCTCACACAGGGATGACACAGTCCTTCACACAGGGATGACACAGTCCTTCACACAGGGATGACACAGTCCTTCACACAGGGATGACACAGTCCTTCACACAGGGATGACACAGGCCTTCACACAGGGATGACACAGTCCTTCACACAGGGATGACACAGGCCTTCACACAGGGATGACACAGGCCTTCACACAGGGATGACACAGGCCTTCACACAGGGATGACACAGTCCTTCACACAGGGATGACACAGTCCTTCACACAGGGATGACACAGGCCTTCACACAGGGATGACACAGTCCTTCACACAGGGATGACACAGTCCTTCACACAGGGATGACACAGTCCTTCACACAGGGATGACACAGTCCTTCAGACAGGGATGACAGTACCCAACCTGCCCTGGCCTTACCTCAGTGAGAGTTTGTGTGTGTGTGTGTGTCAACCCTAACCCCAAGCCACACGTGACTCAACTCCACTGGGAAAGAAGAAGGTCATGTATTTGTCCTGCAGCCATACTGAGAATCACTGTGTGTGTCGAGGGGTTGGGTTGCATTAAGCAAAAAGACTCCTTGCAAGATAATGTACAATCAAGTATTCTTCGTCTTCTATTCCCTGGGTTTAGAAGCTCTTCTATTCAGGGTTGACTGGGATTTGGGTGGAATTGGGGCCCAAGTAACCCTGGTGCAAACATGTAATATATTATATAATATAAGTGTACCTTAATGAGTGGCGTTCTGCCAAAGAAGAAACCAAACAGGTAGGCCATGATGTCATTGCATATCACTATGGAGATGGGGACGATGAACCTGGAAAACAACGTTAACAGATGTCAACCCCTAACGTGTGTTAAATGTTGTGTTGACATTGTCAAAGATTTTGAAAAACAGTTTACCGGTTATAGACACTGCTGACATACAGATTCAATATACGGAGCCACGAGCAAGGAAAAGGATTTGGTCATATGACTACTACAGGAGTATAACTGGTAGACTACCACGCTACAGGAGTATAACTGGTAGACTACCACGCTACAGTGTAGTAATAACAAGCTGGTAGACTACCACGCTACAGTAGTATAACTGGTAGACTACCACGCTACAGTAGTATAACTGGTAGATACTAAACTACAGTAGTATAACTGGTAGACTACCACGCTACAGTAGTATAACTGGTAGACTCCACGCTACAGGAGTACTGGTAGAAACTACAGGAGTATAACTGGTAGACTACCACGCTACAGGAGTATAACTGGTAGACTACCACGCTACAGGAGTATAACTGGTAGACTACCACGCTACAGTAGTATAACTGGTAGACTAAACTACAGTAGTATAACTGGTAGACTACCACGCTACAGGAGTATAACTGGTAGACTACTACGCTACAGTAGTATAACTGGTAGATACTAAACTACAGTAGTATAACTGGTAGACTACCACGCTACGAGTATAACTGGTAGACTACCAGCTACAGAGTATAACTGGTAGACTACCACGCTACAGTAGTATAACTGGTAGACTACCACGCTACAGGAGTATAACTGGTAGACTACCACGCTACAGTAGTATAACTGGTAGACTACTACGCTACAGTAGTATAACTGGTAGATTACTAAACTACAGGAGTATAACTGGTAGACTACCACGCTACAGTAGTATAACTGGTAGACTACCACGCTACAGTAGTATAACTGGTAGACTACCACGCTACAGTAGTATAACTGGTAGATTACTAAACTACAGTAGTATAACTGGTAGACTACCACGCTACAGTAGTATAACTGGTAGACTACCACGCTACAGGAGTATAACTGGTAGACTACCACGCTACAGTAGTATAACTGGTAGATTACTAAACTACAGTAGTATAACTGGTAGATTACTAAACTACAGTAGTATAACTGGTAGACTACTAAACTACAGTAGTATAACTGGTAGACTACCAGCTACAGTAGTATAACTGGTAGATACTAACTACAGTTATTTAACTGGTTAGACTACAATGCTACAGTTTACAGATAACTCAGTAGATACCACGCTAGTAATCAGGTAGTATAACTGGTAGAACTACACCTAACAGTAGTATAACTGGTAGATACCTAAAACTACAGTAGTATAACTGGTAGCCGTAACTTACTAAACTACAGAGTAAACTGGTAGAATACAACGCTACAGGTATAATGGTAGACTACCACGCTACAGTAGTTAAACTGGTAGATACTAAACTACAGTAGTATAACTGGTAGACTACCACGCTACAGTAGTATAACTGGTAGACTACCACGCTACAGTAGTATAACTGGTAGATACTAAACTACAGTAGTATAACTGGTAGACTACAACTACAGTAGTATAACTGGTAGACTACTAAACTACAGTAGTATAACTGGTAGACTACCACGCTACAGTAGTATAACTGGTAGACTACTAAACTACAGTAGTATAACTGGTAGATTACTAAACTACAGTAGTATAACTGGTAGACTACCACGCTACAGTAGTATAACTGGTAGATTACTAAACTACAGTAGTATAACTGGTAGACTACCACGCTACAGTAGTATAACTGGTAGACTACCACGCTACAGTAGTATAACTGGTAGACTACCACGCTACAGGAGTATAACTGGTAGACTACAACGCTACAGTAGTATAACTGGTAGACTACCACGCTACAGGAGTATAACTGGTAGATACAGCTACAGTAGTATAACTGGTAGACTACCACTACAGTAGTATAACTGGTAGACTACCACGCTACAGTAGTATAACTGGTAGACTACCACGCTACAGGAGTATAACTGGTAGACTACCACGCTACAGGAGTATAACTGGTAGACTACCACGCTACAGGAGTATAACTGGTAGACTACCACGCTACAGTAGTATAACTGGTAGACTACCACGCTACAGTAGTATAACTGGTAGACTACCACGCTACAGGAGTATAACTGGTAGACTACCACGCTACAGTAGTATAACTGGTAGATGACTAAACTACAGTAGTATAACTGGTAGATTACCACGCTACAGTAGTATAACTGGTAGACTACTACGCTACAGTAGTAACTGGTAACTACACGTACAGTAGTATAACTGGTAGACTACCACGCTACAGTAGTATAACTGGTAGATTACTAAACTACAGTAGTATAACTGGTAGACTACCACGCTACAGTAGTATAACTGGTAGACTACCACGCTACAGTAGTATAACTGGTAGACTACCACGCTACAGAGTTACTGGTAGACTAACTACAGTAGTATAACTGGTAGACTACCACGCTACAGGAGTATAACTGGTAGACTACCACGCTACAGTAGTATAACTGGTAGACTACTAAACTACAGTAGTATAACTGGTAGACTACTAAACTACAGTAGTATAACTGGTAGACTACCACGCTACAGGAGTATAACTGGTAGACTACTAAACTACAGTAGTATAACTGGTAGACTACAAACTACAGTAGTATAACTGGTAGACTACTAACACAGTAGTATAACTGGTAGACTACACGCTACAGGAGTATAACTGGTAGACTACCACGCTACAGTAGTATAACTGGTAGATTACTAAACTACAGTAGTATAACTGGTAGACTACCACGCTAAGCAGGAGATATATAACTGGTAGACTACCACGCTACAGTAGTATAACTGGTAGACTACCACGCTACAGTAGTATAACTGGTAGATTACTAAACTACAGTAGTATAACTGGTAGACTACCACGCTACAGTAGTATAACTGGTAGATTACTAAACTACAGTAGTATAACTGGTAGACTACCACGCTACAGTAGTATAACTGGTAGATTACTAAACTACAGTAGTATAACTGGTAGACTACCACGCTACAGTAGTATAACTGGTAGACTACCACGCTACAGTAGTATAACTGGTAGATTACTAAACTACAGTAGTATAACTGGTAGACTACCACGCTACAGGAGTATAACTGGTAGACTACCACGCTACAAAAATATAAACGGGTAGACTACCACGCTAACAGTAGTATAACTGGTAGACCACCACGCTACAGTAGTATAACTGGTTAGATTTTACCACGCTACAGGAGTATACTGGTAGACTACCACGCTACCAGTAGTATAACTGGTTAGAACTACCATGCTACAGTAGTTAGAACTGTTGAGACTACCACGTACAGTAGGTATAACTGGTAACTGGACTACCACGCTACAGTAGTATAACTGGGTAGACTACCACGCTACAGGAGTATAGCTGGTAGACTACCACGGCTACAGTAGTATAATGGTAGACTACACCTACAGAAGTATAACTGGTAGACTACTAAACTACAGTAGTATAATTGACCTTTTTTCACCTAAGTAGAAAAATGTAGACGTACAAATAGAAACGTATTTGAGGTAATACAAGCTAGAATCTGGTGCTCCTAAATATAAACTCCAGGTCGCACAGCAAAATATTTAGGCACATATGTGAGTAAAATGGTCACAATGTAGTGCCCTGTGTGTGTGTGTGTGTGTGTGTGTGTGTGTGTGTGTGTGTGTCTGTGTCTGTGTGTGTGTGTGTGTGTGTGTGTGTGTGTTTCTTACCAGATCATTCCTTCAAACAGGTTCTGAATGACCAGGTGAGACTGAGTCACCACGATCAGGAGGGTTACATGGGTCCACGCAAACTGGAGGGGCAAACCGCGCACACACACACACACACACACACACACACACACACACACACACACACACGTTAGTGGTGGGGAATGCAGACAGGGTACAGAGAGATGTATACAGACAGACTATATATCTACAGTATCTAGTTAGGCAAGGCTGAGTCACTCCACACCACTACCACTGACATCTACCACACAAAGACACAATGCTAGGCGGATGAAGACGCCTTTTACACAGCAGGCTAGTGTGTGAGACATACTGTAAATATAACACATAGCCCATCCTTTACGTTAATGACACAGAGGTGATGGATGGAGACATTCAAATACATCATATTTATGAGGTGTGTGTGAGGAGAGAAAAGAAAGCTATGGTGTAATCTAGAATGTTCTCTTGGGCCAGACCTAGTCTGGTACAGCTGGTTCTACTGGCTGTAATCTAGAACGTTCTCTTGGGCCAGACCTAGTGTAGTACAGCTGGTTCTACTGGCTGTAATCTAGAATGTTCTCTTGGGCCAGACCTAGTGTAGTACAGCTGGTTCTACTGGCTGTAATCTAGAATGTTCTCTTGGGCCAGACCTAGTGTAGTACAGCTGGTTCTACTGGCTGTAATCTAGAATGTTCTCTTGGGCCAGACCTAGTCTGGTACAGCTGGTTCTACTGGCTGTAATCTAGAATGTTCTCTTGGGCCAGACCTAGTGTAGTACAGCTGGTTCTACTGGCTGTAATCTAGAATGTTCTCTTGGGCCAGACCTAGTGTAGTACAGCTGGTTCTACTGGCTGTAATCTAGAACGTTCTCTTGGGCCAGACCTAGTGTAGTACAGCTGGTTCTACTGGCTGTAATCTAGAATGTTCTCTTGGGCCAGACCTAGTGTAGTACAGCTGGTTCTACTGGCTGTAATCTAGAATGTTCTCTTGGGCCAGACCTAGTGTAGTACAGCTGGTTCTACTGGCTGTAATCTAGAATGTTCTCTTGGGCCAGACCTAGTGTAGTACAGCTGGTTTCTACTGGCTGTAATCTAGAATGTTCTCTTGGGCCAGACCTAGTGTAGTACAGCTGGTTCTACTGGCTGTAATCTAGAATGTTCTCTTGGGCCAGACCTAGTGTAGTATAGCTGGTTCTACTGGGAATAGCGTGCCATGTGTGTCATAGCCTGGGAGTAGGCTAGCCCGGTTACCATGCTGTTCGTGCCATCATGCCAAACCTTGTCATGCCATATATATACACAAGGAGTGGCATGGAGTGGAATGTTAGCACAAACAGATCTGGTGCCCAGGCTAGGAGTATGCAGTATAGTGTATGGCATGCAGTGACAGGATGGTGGTGGTCAGTTAGTGGTTACTTGGCTCATACACACCATATAAAACTGCAGGCGGTAATGTTTCTTCACTAAACTCAGAACAAACATGCAGAAACCTGTGAAAAATCAAATAACATGCGGTCAGTTTCTCTGTACAAGGTGGGGGGGGGGAAGAACATCATCATCATCATCATCATCATCATATTGCTGACTCCTATGACCATTTGTCACGCTGAGTTGTCAAGACAGAACAACCCGACGTGGATCCAGGCTAATAAAAAAAACTATATATTTGTGCCGAAGGTGTCGATTTAAAAACATTCATCGTGTCTCAGGTTTCACCACATAAAGCAGCCAATGGGAGTCCCTGGGGAGAGGTGTATCGAGTCGCCGGGCAGATTGTGTCTGTTCAGCAGAACCCTGGATTTTAACTGGCTGTGACAGACAGTGCTCCAGTCAGGGTCAAGTCAATGACACTGACTCCAGGGCCCGTATTTCAAAGTGTCTCAGATCAGGTCCCCTATCTTTATTCATTGTGATCTAAAAGGAAAAAAACGGACCCTGGATCAGCACTCCTACTGCGAGATGCTTTGTGAATGTGGTCCCAGGTCAGGCTTATACCAACCCTAATGCTTTGGGAGTGTATGTGCGTTCACTTGGGACGTGACGCAACTCACTAAATGGGAGGATCCTAAAAAGGGGCCAGTGTGCGGATTCTGTCTGCGTCCTAAATGGTAGCTTATTCCCTTTGTAGTGCACTACGTTTTACCAGGGCTGTGGTCATAAGAAGTGCACTACATGGAACCGGGTACCATTCGGGACAGACACTGTGGTTTGGTGCCACCCCAGCTGCAGCTATAAAAACGGTAATGAACCACGAACGTTTATTGGCCGGTAAATTACAATTCTACCACACACTTCCTGCAAATAAAACACCAGTAATATTCCACTACGCTCTATAGGCCTAACACTTATACTGGCAGATTTGAACAGCTGTTTAGTTTCACTGAAGGGAGTAGAGGCCTGAGAAGAACATTGACTAGCCAGACTAGGGCTTCTTTCCAAATGGCACCCTATTCCCTATGTAGTGCACTACTTTTGACTGACACACAAAATATTTAAAGTGCCTTTGAACGGGGTACGGTAGGTAGCAGGTGCCAGGCGCACCAGTTTGAGTGTGTCAAGAACTGCAACGCTGCTGGTGTTTTTCCTCGCTTGACAGTTTTCAGTGTCACCACCCAAAGGACATCCAGACAATAGTGAAGACATCAAAACTATGAAATAACACATATGGAATCATGTAGTAACCCCCCCCCCAAAAAAAATTATTAAACAAATAAAAATATATATATATTTGAGGTTCTTCAAATAGCTACCCTTTGCCTTGACGACAGCGTTGCACACTCTTGGCATTCTCTCAACCAGCTTCACCTTGAATGCTTTTCCAACAGTCTTGAAGGAGTTCCCACATATGCTGAGCACTTGTTGGCTGCTTTTCCTTTACTCTGCGAACCAACTCATCCCAAACCATCGAGATCTATCTCTCTCTATCTATCTCTCTATATAGTGGCCAGAAAATGGTTCGCTCCTACAGACAGCGAGTCACTTGGCCGTGGCTTGCTATATAAAGCAGGCAGACAGGCATCCAATTACTGTTTCATGGAATGTTAGAATGGGCTAAATGAGTGGCCTAAGCGACTTTGAGCGTGGTATGATCGTTGGTTCCAGGCGCGCCGGATCCAGTATCTCAGAAACGGCCGACCTCCTGGGCTTTTCACTCACGACAGTGTCTAGGGTTTACAGAGAATGGTGCGACAAACAAAAAACATCCAGTCAGCAGCAGTCCTGATGGCGAAAACAGCTCATTGAAGAGAGGTCGAAGGAGAATGGCAAGAATCGTGCAAGCTAACAGGCAGGCCACAGACAGACAGTGGTGCGCAGAATGGCATCTCGGAACGCACAACTCATCGATCCTTGTTACGGATGGGCTATTGCAGCAAACGACCACTGGTTCCACTCCTATCACCTAACATCAAGAATAAGCGGCTCCGATGTGGACGCGATCACCAACACTGGACAATTGAGGAGTGGGAAAACGTGACATGACTGCGCGGTCCCCAGATCTCAACCCAATAGAGCATCTTTTGGGATGAGATGGAACGGGCTGTTGTCAGCGTGAATGTACCGCCGTCCAAATCTGCAGCAACTGCCATCGCGTCAGCATGGACCAACATCTCTGTGGAGCGTTTGACACCTTGTAGAACGCCCAGAATAACTCAGGCTGTTCTGGAGGCAAAGTGGGGTCCGACACAGTACTAGACGGGTGTACCTAATAAACGGGCCACTGAGTGTTACAACACTCAGTGGCCAGTTGCATTGCATTGGCTGAATACTCTATTCTGATTGGTGGAGAGGGTTTTGTCCATTTTCTGATATACACACAGCAAACATGATAAAATGGCTATTAAGAAGTCGTCGTTATGAAGAATAATAAAAGGTGTTGTTATCCTCTATGTTAAAATATATATATAAACATATATATTAACATAGAGAATAACAACGACCCTAAGCACACATATATATATATATATATATATATATAGCCCCCATATGAAAAATATATGCACGCGACTGTTAATCCCTTTAGACGAAAAAGTCCTGTTAAATGGCATAGACCGACAGTGCCTTCGGAAAGTATTCAGACCCCTTGACTTTTCCACATTTTGTTACGTTACAGCCTTATTCTAAAATGGATTAAATAAATAAAAATCCTCAATCTACACACAATACCCCATAATGACGAAGCGTAAATAGGTTTAGACATTTTTGCAAATGTATTAAAAATAAAAACAGAAACACCTTATTTACATAAGTATTCAGACCCTTTGCTCTGAGACTCGAAATTCAATTGATCGGACATGATTTGGAAAGGCACACACCTTTCTATATAAGGTCCCACAATTGACAGTGCATGTCAGGGCAAAAACCAAGCCATGAGGTCGAAAGAGTTGTCCGTAGAGCTCTGAGACAGGATTGTGTCGAGGCACAGATCTGGGGAAGGGTACCAAAAAATGTCTGCAGCATTGAAGGTCCCCAAGAACACAGTTGCCTCCATCAATCTTAAACGGAAGAAGTTTGGAACCACCAAGACTCTTCCTAGAGCTGGCGGCCAAACTGAGCAATCGGGGGAGAAGGGCCTTGGTCAGGAAGGTGACCAAGAACCCAATGGTCACTCTGACAGAGCTCCAGAGTTCCTCTGTGGAGATGGGAGAACCTTCCAGAAGGACAACCATCTGTGCAGCACTCCACCAATAAGGCCTTTATGGTAGAGTGGCCAGACGGAAGCCACTCCTCAGTAAAAGGCACATGACAGCCCGCTTGGAGTTTGCCAAAAGGCACCTAAAGGACTCTCAGACCATGAGAAACAAGATTCTCTGGTCTGATGAAACCAAGATTGAACTCTTTGGCCTGAATGACAAGCGTCACGTCTGGAGGAAACCTGGCACCATACCTACGGTGAAGCATGGTGGTGGCAGCATCATGCTGTGGGGAAGTTTTTCAGCGGCAGGGAGTGGGAGACTAGTCTGGATCGAGGGAAAGATAAACGGAGCAAAGTACAGAGAGATCCTTGATGAAAACCTGCTCCAGAGCGCTCAGGACCTCAGACTGGGGCGAAGGTTCACCTTCCAACAGGACAACGACCCTAAGCACACAGCCAAGACAACGCAGGCGTGGCTTCAGGACAAGTCTCTGAATGTCCTTGAGTGGCCCAGCCAGAGCCCGGCCTTGAACCCGATCGAACATCTCTGGAGAGACCTGAAAATAGCTGTGCAGCGACGCTCCCCATCCAACCTGACAGAGCTTGAGAGGATCTGCAGAGAAGAAAATGGGAGAAACTCCCCAAATACAGGTGTGCTAAGCTTGTAGTGTAATCGCTGCCAAAGGTGCTTCAACAAAGTCCTGAGTAAAGGGTCTGAATACTTACGTAAATGTGATAGTTTATTTTCATTTTTAATACATTTGCAAAAATTTATAAAAACCTGTTTTTGCGTTGCCATCGTGTTTAGATTGATGATGATAAAAAAACGATTTAAACCATTTTAGAATAAGGTTGTAACGTAACAAAAAATGTGGAAAAAGTCAAGGACTCAATAATTTCCAAATGCACTGTGTTGTTGTTTATAAACTCAGCACGTGGCTGTGTTGATGGCTGTATTGATGGCTGTATTGATGGCTGTATTGATGGCTGTGTTCCACCAAGGCTCACCTGCCAGGTAGAAAGCGAAGGAGATGAAGCGATGGTATCGGACCAGGAACTGGAGCGAATCCTCTCTCTGAACCAACGCACCAAAGTACTCCGCCAACGTCTCACCATAGAAGAAGTAGTTCACACAAATCAGGAAGTACCTGGAAGACAACAAGCAAAGAAGGTAGAATATGTAGTTCTCTCTTTAGTGTGTGTGTGTGTGTGTGTGTGTGTGTGTGTGTGTGTGTGTTGTGCGTCACATAGGCCCCATTCATTCAGTATCAATCACGTCACACGAAGTAAAGCTAAAGTACCTGGAAAAACATGGCAGTGGCTTTTGCTCAGGGTTGGCTTGACTGGTGCGCCAAGGTTAATAAACGAAAACTTAAAATAAAATAAAAACTGCAATTGGAAAAAACTATTTAGTAAACTGAAATAAAATAAGAAAAACCTTTTTGAATACCTAAAATGTAAAAAACTAAAAAGCTGCTCTGCTGTACAGACACATAAAACTAAAAAAGGGGCGAGGGGCACTCCATATTCACACTATTACCTGCAGAATAACACTAGTCAGCATTTTAGACAGAACCGAGAGTAGGGGGGGGGGAGAGAGACCGTAGGGAAACAGAAAGAGAGCTAGACGGGAGGGGAGGGGGTCAATGTAAATAGTTCAGGTGGCCATTTCATAAATTGTTCAGCAGTCTTATGGCTTGGGGGTAGGAGCTTTTTGGACCTAGACTTGGCGCTCCGGTACCGCTTGCCGTGCGGTAGCAGAGAGAACAGTCTATGACTTGGGTGACTGGAGTCTTTGACAATTTTTGGGCCTTCCCCTGACACCGCCTGGTATAGAGGTCTTTGATGGCAGGAAGCTTGTCCCCAATGATGTACTGGGCCGTACGCACTACCCTCTGTAGCGCCTTACGGTCGGAGGCCAAGCAGTTGACATACCAGGCGGTGATGCAACCGGTCATGAAGCTCTCGATGGTGCAGCTGTATAACTTTTTGAGGATCTGGGGACCCATGCCAAATCTTTTCAGTCTCCTGAGGGGGAAAAGGTGTTGTCATGCCCTCTTCACGACTGTCTTGGTGTGTTTGGACCATGATAGTTTGTTGGTGATGTGGACACCAAAGAACTTGAAACACTCGACCCGCTCCACTGCAGCCCGTCTATGTTAATGGGGGCCTGTTCGGCCCTCATTTTCCTGTGGTCCACAATCATCTCCTTTGTCTTGGTCACGTTGAGGGAGAGGTGGTTGTCCTGGCACCACACTGCCAGGTCTCTGACCTCCTCCCTATAGGCTGTCTCATCGTTGTCGATGATCAGGCCTACCACTGTTGTGTCGTCAGCAAACTTAATGATGGTGTTGAGTTGTGTTTGGCCACACAGTCATGGGTGAACAGGAAGTACAGGAGGGGACTAAGCACGCACCCCTGAGGGGCCCCAGTGTTGAGGATCAGGGTGGCAGATGTGTTGTTGCCTACCCTTACCACCTGGGGGCAGCCCGTCAGGAAGTCCAGGATCCAGTTGCACAGGGAGGTGTTTAGTCCCAGGGTCCTTAGCTTAGTGATGAGCTTTATGGGCACTATGGTGTTGAACGCTGAGCTGTAGTCAACGAACAGCATTCTCACATAGGTGTTCCTTTTGTCCAGGTGGGAAAGGGCATTGTGGAGTGCGATTGAGATTGCGTCCTCTGTGGATCCGTTGGGGCGGTATGCAAATTGGAGCGGGTCTAGGGTTTCCAGGATGATGGTGTTGATGTGAGCCATGACCAGCCTTTCAAAGCACTTCATGGCTACAGACGTGAGTGCTACGGGGCAGTAGTCATTTAGGCAGGTTACCTTCGCTTTCTTGGGCACAGGGACTATGGTGGTCTGCTTGAAACATGTTGGTATTACAGACTCGGTCAGGGAGAGATTGAAAATGTCAGTGAAGAGAGGAGAGGCCTCCTCTAACATGTGCAGTTTCGTCACACAACACTGCCAACGCCACAGATGTCTCAAGTTTTGAGGGAGCGTGCAATTGGCATGCTGACTGCAGGAATGTCCACCAAAGCTGTTGCCAGAGAATTGAATGTTAATTTCTCTATTTTACCATAAGCCGCCTCCAACGTCATTTTAGAGAATTTGCCAGTACGTCCAACCAGTCTCACAACCGCAGACCACGTGTAACCACGCCAGCCCAGGACCTCCACATCCGGCTTCTTCACCTGCGACTAGCCACCCGGACAGCTGATGAAACTGTGGGTTTTCATAACCGAAGAACGTCTGCACAAACTGTCAGAAACGGTCTCAGAGAAGCTCATCTGCGCGCTCGTCGTCCTCACCTTGACCTGACTGCAGATCGGCGTCGTAACCCACTTCAGTGGGCAAATGCTCACCTTCGATGGCCACTGGCACGTTGGAGAAGTGTGCCCTTCACGGATGAATCCCAGTTTCAACTGTACCGGGCAGATGGCAGACAGCATCTATGGCGTTGTGTGGGCGAGCGGTTTGCTGATTATCAACGTTGTGAACAGAGTGCCCTATGTTGGCGGTGGGGTTATGGTATGGGCAGGCATCAGCTACGGATAACGAACACAATTGCATTTTATCAATGGCAATTTGAATGCACAGCGATACCGTGACGAGATCCTGAGGCCCATTGTCGTGCCATTAATCCGCCGCCATCACCTCATGTTTCAGCATGATAATGCACGGCCCCATGTCGCAAGGATCTGTACACAGTTCCTTGAAGCTTAAAATGTCCCAGTTCTTCCATGGCCTGCATACTCACCAGGCATGTCACCCATTGAGCATGTTTGGGATGCTCTGGATCGACAGCGTGTTCCAGTTCCCGCCAATATCCAGCAACTTCGCACAGCCATTGAAGAGGATTGGGACAGCATTCCACAGGCCACAATCAACAGCCTGATCAACTCTATGCGAAGTAGATGTGTCGCACTGCATGAGGCAAATGGTGATCACACCAGATACTGACTGGTTTTCTGATCCACGCCCCTACCTTTCTTTTAAGGTATCTGTAACCAACAGATGCATATCTGTATTTCCAGTCATGTGAAATCTATAGATTAGGGCCTCATTGACGGATTTCCTTATATGAACTGTAACTCAGTAAATTGTTGCATGTTGCGTTTATATTATTTGTCAGTTTAGATACAATGTCCTCACCAGCTGAGTGTCCTGAACCAGGGCAGCTCGTAGGAATGGTAGACCCTGTAGCCGATATCTATGATCTCCTGAAAACACTTGATCTGGATGGTCATCACCTACCAAGGAAAGAGAATGACATGGAGGAGTTACCACTGGTCATCACCTACCAAGGAAAGAGAATGACATGGAGGAGTTACCACTGGTCATCACCTACCAAGGAGGAGAGAATCACATGGAGGAGTTACCACTGGTCATCACCTACCAAGGAAAGAGAATGACATGGAGGAGTTACCACTGGTCATCACCTACCAAGGAGGAGAGAATCACATGGAGGAGTTACCACTGGTCATCACCTACCAAGGAGGAGAGAATGACATGGAGGAGTTACCACTGGTCATCACCTACCAAGGAAAGAGAATGACATGGAGGAGTTACCACTGGTCATCACCTACCAAGGAAAGAGAATGACATGGAGGAGTTACCACTGGTCATCACCTACCAAGGAGGAGAGAATCACATGGAGGAGTTACCACTGGTCATCACCTACCAAGGAGGAGAGAATCACATGGAGTTACCACTGGTCATCACCTACCAACGAGGAGAGAATCACATGGAGGAGTTACCACTGGTCATCACCTACCAAGGAAAGAGAATGACATGGAGGAGTTACCACTGGTCATCACCTACCAAGGAGGAGAGAATCACATGGAGGAGTTACCACTGGTCATCACCTACCAAGGAGGAGAGAATCACATGGAGGAGTTACCACTGGTCATCACCTACCAAGGAGGAGAGAATCACATGGAGGAGTTACCACTGGTCATCACCTACCAAGGAGGAGAGAATCACATGGAGGAGTTACCACTGGTCATCACCTACCAAGGAGGAGAGAATCACATGGAGGAGTTACCACTGGTCATCACCTACCAAGGAGGAGAGAATCACATGGAGTTACCACTGGTCATCACCTACCAAGGAGGAGAGAATCACATGGAGGAGTTACCACTGGTCATCACCTACCAAGGAGGAGAGAATCACATGGAGGAGTTACCACTGAGGGATGGTTGGTGAAAGTGACTTGGGTTTTTTCAGAAATCGCGGTTGGTGGACTCTAGAACCAGTAGGGAGTAAACGGAGGGAGGGGGGGGGGATGGGGGGGGGGGGGGGGGGGAGGGGGTCTTCCAATCTGAAATACTTCAACTGGTTTTTCCGGGGGGTAAAACAAGGAATTTTAGCAAAATATGGTTCACAATCAGAGTGAAGCCACGTACCACTAATATGAACAGCCACGGGGGGCCAGTATGAAAATGTATGCACTCACTAAGTGTAAGTCGCTCTGGATAACAGTGTCTGCTAAATGACTAAAATGTAAACGTAAAGATGTTATGAAGCCACGTACCACTAATATGAACATGGTGTTATGAAGCCACGTACCACTAATATGAACATGGTGTTATGAAGCCACGTACCACTAATATGAACATGGTGTTATGAAGCCACGTACCACTAATATGAACATGGTGTTATGAAGCCACGTACCACTAATATGAACATGGTGTTATGAAGCCACGTACCACTAATTTGAACATGGTGTTATGAAGCCACGTACCACTAATATGAGCATGATGGGTCCCAGGTAGATGATCATAAAGAATCCTGATATCATGGCCAGAGACAGAACCCCTCGGATCCACCAGTTCTTCCATCTGAAAAACACAGACATCAATACACACAGATACAGTGGGGGAAAAAAGTATTTAGTCAGCCACCAATTGTGCAAGTTCTCCCACTTAAAAAGATGAGAGAGGCCTGTAATTTTCATCATAGGTACACGTCAACTATGACAGACAAAATGAGATTTTTCTTTCCAGAAAATCACATTGTAGGATTTTCTATGAATTTATTTGCAAATTATGGTGGAAAATAAGTATTTGGTCAATAACAAAAGTTTCTCAATACTTTGTTATATACCCTTTGTTGGCAATGACACAGGTCAAACGTTTTCTGTAAGTCTTCACAAGGTTTTCACACACTGTTGCTGGTATTTTGGCCCATTCCTCCATGCAGATCTCCTCTAGAGCAGTGATGTTTTGGGGCTGTCGCTGGGCAACACGGACTTTCAACTCCCTCCAAAGATTTTCTATGGGGTTGAGATCTGGAGACTGGCTAGGCCACTCCAGGACCTTGAAATGCTTCTTACGAAGCCACTCCTTCGTTGCCCGGGCGGTGTGTTTGGGATCATTGTCATGCTGAAAGACCCAGCCACGTTTCATCTTCAATGCCCTTGCTGATGGAAGGAGGTTTTCACTCAAAATCTCACGATACATGGCCCCATTCATTCTTTCCTTTACACGGATCAGTCGTCCTGGTCCCTTTGCAGAAAAACAGCCCCAAAGCATGATGTTTCCACCCCCATGCTTCACAGTAGGTATGGTGTTCTTTGGATGCAACTCAGCATTCTTTGTCCTCCAAACACGACGAGTTGAGTTTTTACCAAAAAGTTATATTTTGGTTTCATCTGACCATATGACATTCTCCCAATCCTCTTCTGGATCATCCAAATGCACTCTAGCAAACTTCAGATGGGCCTGGACATGTACTGGCTTAAGCAGGGGGACACGTCTGGCACTGCAGGATTTGAGTCCCTGGCGGCGTAGTGTGTTACTGATGGTAGGCTTTGTTACTTTGGTCCCAGCTCTCTGCCGGTCATTCACTAGGTCCCCCCGTGTGGTTCTGGGATTTTTGCTCACCGTTCTTGTGATCATTTTGACCCCACGGGGTGAGATCTTGCGTGGAGCCCCAGATCGAGGGAGATTATCAGTGGTCTTGTATGTCTTCCATTTCCTAATAATTGCTCCCACAGTTGATTTATTCAAACCAAGCTGCTTACCTATTGCAGATTCAGTCTTCCCAGCCTGGTGCAGGTCTACCATTTTGTTTCTGGTGTCCTTTGACAGCTCTTTGGTCTTGGCCATAGTGGAGTTTGGAGTGTGACTGTTTGAGGTTGTGGACAGGTGTCTTTTATACTGATAACAAGTTCAAACAGGTGCCATTAATACAGGTAACGAGTGGAGGACAGAGGAGCCTCTTAAAGAAGACGTTACAGGTCTGTGAGAGCCAGAAATCTTGCATGTTTGTAGGTGACCAAATACTTATTTTCCACCATAATTTGCAAATAAATTCATTAGAAATCCTACAATGTGATTTTCTGGATTTTTTTTCTCATTTTGTCTGTCATAGTTGACGTGTACCTATGATGAAAATTACAGGCCTCTCTCATCTTTTTAAGTGGGAGAACTTGCACAATTAGTGGCTGACTAAATACTTTTTTTCCCCACTGTATATACAGCGTCTTGTGAAAGTATTCAACCCCCTTGGCATTTTTCTTATTTTGTTGCCTTACAACCTGGAATTAAAATAGATTTTTTGTGGGTTTGTATCATTTGATTTACACAACATGCCTACCAATTTAAAGATGCAAAAAATTTCTTCTTGTGAAACAAACAAGAAATAAGGCAAAAAAACTGAAAACTTGAGCATGCATAACTATTCACCCCCCCAAAGTCAATACTTTGTAGAGCCACCTTTTGCAGCAATTACAGCTGCAAGTCTCTTGGGGTATGTCTCTATAAGGTTGGCACATCTAGCCACTGGGATGTTTGCCCATTCTTCAAGGCAAAACTGCTCCAGCTCCTTCAAGTTCGATGTGTTCCGCTGGTGTACAGCAATCTTTAAGTCATACCACAGATTCTCAATGGGATTGAGGTCTGGGCTTTGACTAAGCCATTCCAAGACATTTAAATGTTTCCCCTTAAACCACTCAAGTGTTGCTTTAGCAGTATGCTTAGGGTCATTGTGTCCTGCTGGAAGGTGAACCTCCGTCCCAGTCTCAAATCTCTGGAAGACTGAAACAGGTTTCCCTCAAGAATGTCCCTGTATTTAGCGCCATCCATCGTTCCTTCAATTCTTGACCTTAGCCCCCCCCCCTCTCAGCCTCCAGTATCTATGCTGCAATAGTCTATGTGGCGGGGGACTAGGTTCAATCTGTTATATCTGGTGTAATTCTCCAGTCTTATCTGGTGTCCTGTGTGAATTTAAGTATACTCTCGCTCTCCTCCCGGAGGACCTGACCCTAGGACCATGCCTCAGGACTACCTGGCCTGATGACTCCTGGCTGTCCCCAGTCCACCTGGTCGTGCTGCTGCGTCAGTTTCACAATGTACAGTACCAGTCAAAAGTTTGGACACACCTTCTCATTCAAGGGGTTTTCTTAATTTTTTATCAAATCTCTATCTACCTCACTACCTATGATATACACACACAATGACTTTTCCAGGATTTTACTTGCTAACCAAAAATGAGCTATAACTGGGCATATAACTCACTAGCAATTATTCTCAACAAATTTGCAAATGCGGCTCGCTTTGATTGGTGCCTTTTGGCAAACTCCAAGTGGGCTGTCATGTACCTTTTACTGAGGAGTGGCTTCCGTTTGGCCATTCTACCATAAAAGACCTGATTGGTGGAGTGCTGCAGAGATGGTTGTCCTTCTGGAAGGTTCTTCCATCTCCACAGAGGAACTCTGGAGCTCTGTCAGAGTGACCATTGGGTTCTTGGTCACCTCCCTGACCAAGGCCCTTCTCACCCGATTGCTCAGTTTGGCCAGGTGGCCAGCTCTAGGAAGAGTCTTGGTGGTTCCAAACCTCTTATTTTTTAGCACTAAACAGTCTCCATATATACTTCGGATAAAAAAGGCACATGACAGCCCACTTGGAGTTTGCCAAAAGGCACCTAAAGGACTCTCAGACCATAAGAAACAAGATTCTCTGGTCTGATGAAACCAAGATTGAACTCTTTGGCCTGAATGCCAAGCGTCACGTCTGGAGGAAACCTGGCACCATCCCTACGGTGAAGCATGGTGGTGGTAGCATCATGCTGTGGGGATGTTTTTCAGCGGCAGGGACTGGGAGACTAGTCAGGAGAGGGAAAGATGAACGGAGCAAAGTACAGAGAGATCCTTGATGAAAACCTGCTCCAGAGTGCTCAGGACCTCAGACTGGGGTGAAGGTTCACCTTCCAACAGGACAACGACCCTAAGCACACAGCCAAGACAACGCAGGACAGGCTTCGGGACAAGTCTCTGAATGTCCTTGAGTGGCCCAGCCAGAGCCCAGACTTGAACCCGATCGAACATCTCTGGATAGACCTGAAAATAGCCGTGCAGCGACGCTCCCCATCCAACCTGACAGAGCTTGAGAGGATCTGCAGAGAAGAATGGAAGAAACTCCCCAAATACAGGTGTGCCAAGCTTGTAGCGTCATACCCAAGAAGACTCGAGGCTGTAATCGCTGCCAAAGGTGCTTCAACAAAGTACTGGGTAAAGGGTCTGAATACTTACATTTGCAAAAATGTATAAAAACCTGTTTTTTCCTTGTCTATATGGGGTATTGTGTGTAGATTGATGAGGGAAAAAAACGATTTAATCCATTTTAGAATAATGCTGTAACGTAACAAAATGTAGAAAAATGTCAAGGGGTCTGAATACTTTCCGAATGCACTGTATATAGAATTGTTTTAAGAAAGTCATACCAAGGATCATTTTGGCTATTTGCTTTTGAATTTTAAGACCCCTTGAAGTATAAAAAAATAAATATATAAAAATGATTTGATGAAACATTTTATTTGGCCTTACTAATGTTAGCCCATACAAACGCATTGCATAACAGATTCACTACATGGATTCACTACATGGATCAACAGATCTGAGAGATATAAGAAAGATCAGGAAACGTTTGTGTATATATATATATATATATATATAGTTAATTTTACAAAATAAATCTGTTGAAATCGCACTGTGGATGTATAGATTTCAGAATTGCGTTTGGGGCATTCTTACCCCATTTGATGGACGCAAGATCCATTGGTAAGGCTGTACATTGCAATATGAATACGCAATACTCACAACAGACTGAATTGTGAGGTGATTTCCCACAGTTAAAGTTCCACAATAAGAGCAACGACGCTAATATTTGTGTAAACTCTTTGGAATTGTAATCTGTGGGTGTCACTGAGAAGGCTGAGACCCAGTGGTGTAAAATACTTCAGTAAAAATACTTTAAAGTACTACTAGTCGTTTTGGGGGGGGGGGGTATCTGCACTTTACTATTTATATTTTTGACAACTTATACTTTTACACCACTACATTCCTAAGGAAAAGAATGTACTTTCTACTCCATACACCCAAAAGTAAATAGGTGCTGGTTCTCATTTTGGTTGCCTGTACTGTTTATACACTGGTCAAAAAAATAAAGGGAACACTTAAACAACACAATGGAACTCCAAGTCAATCACACTTCTGGGAAATCAAACTGTCCACTTAGGAAGCAACACTGATTGACAATAATTTTCACATGCTGTTGTGCAAATGGAATAGACAACAGGTGGAAATTATAGGCAATTAGCAAGACACCCCCAATAAAGAAGTGGTTCTGCAGGTGGTGACCACAGACCACTTCTCAGTTCCTATGCTTCCTGGCTGATGTTTTGGTCACTTTTGAATGCTGGCGGTGCTTTCACTCTAGTGGTACCATGAGACGGAGTCTACAACCCACACAAGTGGCTCAGGTAGTGCAGCTCATCCAGGATGGCACATCAATGCGAGCTGTGGCAAGAAGGTTTGCTGTGTCTGTCAGCGTAGTGTCCAGAGCATGGAGGCGCTACCAGGAGACAGGCCAGTATATCAGGAGACGTGGAGGAGGCCGTAGGAGGGCAACAACCCAGCAGCAGGACTGCTACCTCCACCTTTGTGCAAGGAGGAGCAGGAGGAGCACTGCCAGAGCCCTGCAAAATGACCTCCAGCAGGCCACAAATGTGCATGTGTCTGCTCAAACGGTCAGAAACAGACTCCATGAGGGTGGTATGAGGGCCGACGTCCACAGGTGGGGGTTGTTCTTACAGTTCAACACCGTGCAGGACGTTTGGCATTTGCCAGAGAACACCAAGATTGGCAAATTCGCCACTGGCGCCCTGTGCTCTTCACAGATGAAAGCAGGTTCACACTGAGCACATGTGACAGACGTGACAGAGTCTGGAGACGCCATGGTGAACGTTCTGCTGCCTGCAACATCCTCCAGCATGACCGGTTTGGCGGTGGGTCAGTCATGGTGTGGGGTGGCATTTCTTTGGGGGGCCGCACAGCCCTCCATGTGCTCGCCAGAGGTAGCCTGACTGCCATTAGGTACCAAGATGAGATCCTCAGACCCCTTGTGAGACCATATGCTGGTGCGGTTGGCCCTGGGTTCCTCCTAATGCAAGACAATGCTAGACCTCATGTGGCTGGAGTGTGTCAGAAGTTTCTGCAAGAGGAAGGCATTGATGCTATGGACCGCCCGTTCCCCAGACCTGAATCCAATTGAGCACATCTGGGACATCATGTCTCGCTCCATCCACCAACGCCACGTTGCACCACAGACTGTCCAGGAGTTGGCGGATGCTTTAGTCCAGGTCTGGGAGGAGATCCCTCAGGAGACCATCCGCCACCTCATCAGGAGCATGCCCAGGCGTTGTAGGGAGGTCATACAGGCACGTGGAGGCCACACACACTACTGAGCCTCATTTTGACTTGTTTTAAGGACATTACATCAAAGTTGGATCAGCCTGTAGTGTGGTTTTCCACTTTAATTTTGAGGGTGACTCCAAATCCAGACCTCCATGGGTTGATACATTTGATTTCCATTGATAATTTTTGTGTGATTTTGTTGTCAGCACATTCAACTATGTAAAGAAAAAAATATTTAATAAGATTATTTCATTCATTCAGATCTAGGATGTGTTATTTTAGTGTTCCCTTTATTTTTTTGAGCAGTATATGTATATATATATATATATATATATATATATATATATATATATATATATATATATATATATATACATATACACAGTGAGGGAAAAAAGTATTTGATCCCCTGCTGATTTTGTATGTTTGCCCACTGACAAAGACATGATCAGTCTATAATTTTAATGGTATGTTTATTTGAACAGTGATTAACAGAATAACAACAAAAAATTCCAGAAAAATGCATGTCAAAAATGTTATAAATTGATTTGCATTTTAATGAGGGAAATAAGTATTTGACCCCTCTGCAAAACATGACTTAGTACCTAGTGGCAAAACCCTTGTTGGCAATCACAGAGGTCAGACGTTTCTTGTAGTTGTCCACCAGGTTTGCACACATCTCAGGAGGGATTTTGTCCCACTCCTCTTTGCAGATCTTCTCCAAGTCATTAAGGTTTTGAGTCTGACGTTTGGCAACTCGAACCTTCAGCTCCCTCCACAGATTTTCTATGGGATTAAGGTCTGGAAACTGGCTAGGCCACTCCAGGACCTTAATGTGCTTCTTCTTGAGCCACTCCTTTGTTGCCTTGGCCATGTGTTTTGGGTCATTGTCATGCTGGAATACCCATCCATGACCCATTTTCAATGCCCTGGCTGAGGGAAGGAGGTTCTCACCCAAGATTTGACGGTACATGGCCCCATCCATTGTCCCTTTGATGCGGTGAAGTTGTCCTGCCCCCTTAGCAGAAAAACACCCCCAAAGCATAATGTTTCCACCTCCATGTTTGACGGTGGGGATGGTGTTCTTGGGGTCATAGGCAGCATTCCTCCTCCTCCAAACACGGCGAGTTGAGTTGATGCCAAAGAGCTCCATTTTGGTCTCATCTGACCACAACACTTTCACCCAGTTCTCCTCTGAATCATTCAGATGTTCATTGGAAAACTTCAGACGGGCCTGTATATGTGCTTTCTTGAGCAGGGGGACCTTGCGGGCGCTGCAGGATTTCAGTCCTTCACGGCGTAGTGTGTTACCAATTGTTTTCTTGGTGACTATGGTCCCAGCTGCCTTGAGATCGTTGACAAGATCCTCCCGTGTAGTTCTGGGCTGATTCCTCACCGTTCTCATGATCATTGCAACTCCACGAGGTGAGATCTTGCATGGAGCCCTAGGCCGAGGGAGATTGACAGTTCTTTTGTGTTTCTTCCATTTGCGAATAATCGCACCAACTGTTGTCACCTTCTCACCAAGCTGCTTGGCGATGGTCTTGTAGCCCATTCCAGCCTTGTGTAGGTCTACAATCTTGTCCCTGACATCCTTGGAGAGCTGTTTGGTCTTGGCCATGGTGGAGAGTTTGGAATCTGATTGATTGATTGCTTCTGTGGACAGGTGTCTTTTATACAGGTAACAAGCTGAGATTAGGAGCACTCCCTTTAAGAGTGTGCTCCTAATCTCAGCTTGTTACCTGTATAAAAGACACCTGGGAGCCAGAAATCTTTCTGATTGAGAGGGGGTCAAATACTTATTTCCCTCATTAAAATGCAAATCAATTTATAACATTTTTGACATGCGTTTTTCTGGATTTTTTTGTTGTTATTCTGTCTCTCACTGTTCAAATAAACCTACCATTAAAACTATAGACTGATCATGTCTTTGTCAGTGGGCAAACTTACAAAATCAGCAGGGTATCAAATACTTTTTTCCCTCACTGTATATATATTTTTGTACATGTATTTAACCCCTTATTTTTGGCACTAAACAGTCTCTATATATACTTCCATTCATTTTTTCGACTGGTACCGGGGGACCTTCAGACGAGTCTTGTGAGGCCTGCGGGCATCCTAGAGCAAACCGACCTACATGTAGGTGTTCATGAGAGTCTCACCTTTCCACAGAACCCAAACTGTTCAGACGCTACAGACAGAAGTTGGCAGATCGGCTGTACCGACTTCAGACAAGTCCCAAGATGCTTGTGGGAGTCGGAGACCAAGACGGAGAACACCATCGTGTTTGTGAGCGTCTCATATTTTTCCATAGAGGGATCATATTAGTTTGTAGGCCAAACCGTTTGGACGCTACAGACGATTTTGTGAGAAGACCGATTTTCGGGATGTCTCATGGTCTGACAAACACCTCTGTCACCGTTCACCAGATGCAGAAGTGCGACATAGACGGATGCAGTGGATTGAGACTCATCCAATGCAGAAAAACACATACTGTTTCTCTAGCTTGGGGATTTATGTATTATGCTAACTAGATTTCCACGGGGGCATGGACATCGACCTTAGGGGGTTTTAAAGCAGATTCCCGCTTCTGAAATAGCCTAGCTTCCTTTGAGGATGTTGAGACATTGAAGTGTGTGTGGTACGTTACCTGGGGTTGAGGCCCTCCACAGCCTTGTTGAGGAAGTGTGGAGTGTTGTCTGCTGTGGAGGGAGGAACTTCTGGGGTGTCTGCTTTAGACTCACTGTCTCCGTCTCCCTCTCCTCCAGCCTCACCTGGCAGACCCAGTCTGTCCCCTCCATCTGCTTCCTAACACACACACACACACGAGATGGAGAGCGTTAGACTGGAATACTAGTGTGTCAGCACAAAGAAAACCAACAACGAGATGCTATACTGAACAAAAATATAAAATGCAACATATAAAAGTGTTTGTCCCATGTTTCATGAGCTGAAATAAAAAAGATCCTAGAAATGTTCCATACGCACAAAAAGCGTATTTATTTCCAATTGATTCACAAATTAGTTTACATCCCTTTTAGTGAGCATTTCTCCTTTGCCAAGATAATCTATTCACCTGACAGGTGTGGCATATCAAGAAGCTGATTAAACAGCATTATCATTACATAGGTGCACCTTGTGCTGGGGACAATAAAAGGCCACTCTAAAATTAGCAGTTTTGTCACACAACACAATTGCGCAGATGTCTCAAGTTATGAGGGAGTGTGCAATTGGCATTCTGACTGCAGGAATGTCCACCAGAGCTGTTGCCAGAGAATTTAATGTTCATTTCTCTACCATAAGCCGTTGTTTTAGAGAATTTGGCAGTACGTCCAACCGGCCTCAAAACCACAGACCATGTGTAACCACTCCAGCCTAGGACCTCCACATCCGGCTTCTTCACCTGTGGGATCGTCTGAGACCAGCCACCCGGACAGCTGATGAAACTGAGGAGTATTTCTGTCTGTACTAAAGCCCTTTTGTGGAGGAAAATACATTCTGATTGGCTGGGCCTGGCTCTCCAGTGGGTGGGCTTATGCCCTCCCAGGCCCACCCATGGCTGCACCCCTGCCCAGTCATGTGAAATCCATAGATTAGGGCCTAGTGAATTAATTTCAATTGACTAATTTCCTTAAAAAGAACTCTATCATCGTCACTTGCTGTTGAACAATGAAGAGCACGGTTTGTTGTTTTGGAAACTTTATCGTTTTGAAAGTGTATTGGAAAGTTTCTTTAGTAGTCAACTTTTTAATTTGGATCCCGCGACGCAGTTGGCATCAGTTGCCGGGTCTGAGGAGCTATTTGGCGTAGCAGCTAGCCCAGCTGCTAGCTAGCTGCCTATCAAGCTAGCGGGGTTTCTTGAGGGCTTGAACGCAGCATGCAACGCGGTTAGCCATTGTGGCTTGAACCACAGATTGTCCCGGGTTTGTGGCTGTCTAGATCCCTGCTGTTAATGCCACTGCCATTAAACAAAGCATGTGTGTCCATGTATGCTGATGATTCAACCATATACGCATCAGCAACCACAGCTAATGAAGTCACTGAAACCCTTAAAGCAGGGGTGTCAAACTAATTTTAGCTCAGGGGCCACATGGAGGAAAATCTATTCCCAAGTGGGCCGGACCGGAAAAATCATGGTATATATAACTTAAAAACAACAACTTCAGATTGTTTTCTTTGTTTTAATACGATCAACATACAACATAAAGCTGGAGCCTGAGGACAGTGTGTCCAAAATAGTACAAGCACAACATCACTATTAATCATAAAACACATCAAGTTTATTTGAAAATTCTAAAGAAAAAGAACACACAAACACACAATGCCTCAGTGATTAACAGAACTGTTTCACAGATCACAGAACTATATAAGGGTGTCATTTCTCAGGCAGAAATGTTGATACAAATAATGAAATCCTGTTCCCCAAACAAGTGCAAGAACCACAGAGTCAAGAATAGGTTAAATATACAGATAAAATAAAATCAATTAAAAACAATAGCACATCAACATAAAAACATATAAACATAAAGCTGGAGCCTGAGGACAGTGTCCAAAAGCACAACATCACTATTAATCATAAAACACCTCAAGTTATTTGAAAGTTCTGAGGACAAAGAACACACAAACACACAATGCCTCAGTGATTCACATAACTATATCACAGAACTATATCAGGGTGTCATTTCTCAGGCAGAAATGTAGATAAAAATAATGAAATCCTGTTCCCCAAACAAGTGCAAGAACCACAGAGTCAAGAATAGGTTAAATATACAAATAAAATAAATCAATTTAAAAAAATAGCACATCAACATAAAAACATATAAACATAAAGCTGGAGCCTGAGGACAGTGTCCAAAAGCACAACATCACTATTAATCATAAAACACCTCAAGTTATTTGAAAGTTCTGAGGACAAAGAACACACAAACACACAATGCCACAGTGATTCACAGAAGTATATCACAGATCACAGAACTATATCAGGGTGTCATTTCTCAGGCAGAAATGTAGATAAAAATAATGAAATCCTGTTCCCCAAACAAGTGCAAGAACCACAGAGTTAAGAATAGGTTAAATATACAAATAAAATAAAATCAATTAAAAACAATAGCACATCAACATAAAAACATATAAACATAAATCTGAAAGCATTGCTCAAACTCCCGTAACAGTCCAGTTATTTTATCTTTGAACCGCTTCATGTCTGCCACATGTTGGGTCGCGCACAAATTTTTCAGACAGGGGAAGTGAGCTGCATCACCACCGGCAAGTTGCGTCTCCCACAATGACAGCTTCAACTTGAAATAACGTATGCTGTCATAATACTGTGTGACAACTTTGTTGCGCCCTTGCAGCTGTTTGTTCAAGTTATTCAGGTGCTCTGTAACATCCACCATAAATGCAAGGTCCGGCATCCATTCTGCGGAATGAAATTCTAACACTGGTTTGCCCTTTTCTTCCATGAACTGTTCAATTTCTTCCTGTAAATCAAAGAAACGCCTCAGCACAGCACCTCGGCTTAACCATCTTACCTCAGTGTGGTATGGCAGGCCATAGATGTGGTCTTTCTCTCTGAGAAGGCTGTCAAACTGACGGTGATTCAGGCTTCTGGATCGGATGAAATTAACAGTTTGGATGACCACCTTCATGACGTTATCCATCTTTAATGACTTGCAACACAAAGCATCCTGGTGCAAAATACAGTGAAAAGTCAAAAAATCACGTCCTCCATTTGCAGATTGCACTTTCTCTCTGAACTTTGTCACAACGCCTGCTTTTTTCCCGATCATTGAGGGCGCACCATCTGTAGCCAGGCTGACAGCGCGGGACCAGTCCACTCCGACCCTGTCCAGCGCGCCGACGAGTGCGGTAAAAATATCAGCTGCTGTCGTTGTATCTGTCATCGGCACCAACTCCACGAACTCCTCGGTGACGGTCAATGTGTCATCAACTCCGCGGATGAAAAAATGGCCAGTTGTGCAACATCTGTAATGTCCGTGCTTTCATCAATTGCAACCGAAAACGCAATAAATGACTTTACTTTTTGCTTCAACTGGCTGTCCAAATCCACTGAAAGATCGGAAATCCTGTCTGCAACTGTGTTTCTTGTCAGGCTGATATTTGCAAAAGCCTGCCGCTTTTCAGGGCACACAATCTCCGCTGCCTTCATCATGCATGTTTTTACAAATTCACCCTCACTAAATGGTTTTGAAGCCACTGCGATTTCATTAGCAATGAGGTAGCTAGCTTTCACTGCAGCGTCACTGATGTCTCGGCTGTGAGTAAACACAGACTGCTGTTTCTTCAGACCCGCCAACAGTTCATTCACCTTCTCTCATCTCCGCTGTCCTTGAAAGTTGTCATATTTGTCGGCATGAAGACTCACATAGTGGCGACGAAGGTTATATTCTTTCAGCACTGCAACATGCTCTGAACACACCAAACATACAGCTTTCCCATTCAATTCCGTGATTAAATAGGATGACCATTTTTCTTGGAACACTCTGCACTCTGCGTCCACTTTTCTCTTTTTTGACAGAGACATATTGGGGCAATGAGGGTGCCAAAGCACATAATGTTAAAAATAGAAGCCGTAATAAATATCGCGGGCAAAACAAAGTAGCTCATTGGCTGTACGTGCTTGACCTACTTGCTCTGCCCCGGTATAAACAGTTTGCTTGCTTAACACAATTGCTATTGCGCCATCCAGTGGACGCAATTGGAACAGCAGTTTATTTTATTGAAAAATTGCAGCGCATTTTTATACTTAAAAAATAAAAAATAAAATATATATATATATATATATTTTTAAATCATCTCGCGGGCCGGATTAAACCCGTTTGCGGGCCTGATCTGGCCCGCGGGCCGTACGTTTGACACCCCTGCCTTAAAGAGTTGCAGTCTGTTTTGGAATGGGCGGCCAGTAATACATTTGGTACAAATCATTCCCTAAATTCTAGACCTCAGCTGAATCTGGTAATGAATGGCGTGGCTGTTGAACAAGTTGAGGAGACTACATTTCTTGGCATTACCTTAGATTGTTAACGGTCATGGTCAAAACATATTGATTCAAATGGTTGTAAAGATGGGGAGAGGTCTGTCCGTAATAAAGAAGTGCTCTGCTTTTTCGACACCACACTCCCCGAAAGCAAGTCCTGCAGGCTCTAGTTCAGTTTTATCTTGATTATAGTCCAGTCATATGGTCGAGTGCTGCAAGGAAAGACCTAGTTAAGCTGCGGCTGGTCCAGAACAGAGCGGCACGTCTTGCTCTTCATTGTAATCTGCGGGCTGATATAAATAGAGTTGAGGAGAAACTGATTGCATCACTTCTTTTTATAAGAAACATTAAACGTGTTGAAAATCGCAAATTGTTTGCATAGTCAACTTACACACAGCTCTGACACACACACTTACCCCACCAGACATGCCACCAGGGGTCTTTTCACAGTCCCCAAATCCAGAACAAATTCAAGAAAGTGTATAGTATTATATAGAGCCATTATCGGAACTCCGTTCCATCTCATATTGCTGAAATGAACAGCAAACCTGATTTTAAAGAACGGATAAAGCAACGCCTCTCCCCTATTTGACCTAGATAGTTTGTGTGTATGTATTGATATGTAGGCTACGTTAAGAGGCCTGAGTACCCGAGTTGGAATTCCGATCGCACTGAAGTCAGAATTCTGAGATATCCGTGTTCCCAGTTGTTCTGAATGTGGCATCAAAACGGCAACGGAAGGCAGGCTTCATCAGCGCGTCACACACCACTTTGCAATGAGATGGAGGCAGTATGCATTTTGAAAACATATACTTAATTGTTTGAAACATGAACGTTTTAATACCTGTCTTACTTTGCGTCAAAGTAGCCCATTAGATCTCCTCTCTTTCTAAATTTTGAACTGATATTTTCTTCTCCGTCACGTGAAACCGCTCGCATGTGCAGTGCCCTTTTGGAAACGGTGTTTTCCCGCCAATTGCATTATGGAACGAACATCCGAGCTTAGCCTTCTTACTGCGCTTATAATGTATAGAAATAGTTTATTACAATATTAAGCTAAACATTCTGATCTGTGGCATCAGACTCATTGCTTTTTTTATCTCTTTCTTTTTTTATGTAGCCTAGGCAACCGACTGGTTGTATGAATTTGGGATCTACCGTCCCACAACTGTCCCAGAGTCTATTTGGAATAGGCTATTTCTTTCTCAACAAGGTGACCAATAGCCTAAACCTTTCTACTACAGTAGATTGACACAGGCTAGTGATTTTACTGTTCGTTACTTGTCTTGTTGGCTAAGGAAAAGTAACCCTAAATCTGTAAACATGGGTACCCTCATAGATATCATCCTGACTAACTTACCCTCTAAATACACCTCCGCTGTCTTCAACCAGGATCTCAGCGATCACTGCCTTATTGCCTGCGTCCGTAACGGGTCCGCGGTCAAACGACCACCCCTCATCACTGTCAAACGCTCCCAAAAACACTTCAGCGAGCAGGCCTTCCTAATTGACCTGGTCCAGGTATCCTGGATGGATATAGATCTCATTCCGTCAGTAGAGGATGCCTGGTTGTTCTTTAAAAGTAATTTCCTCTTAATCTTAAATAAGCATGCCCCATTCAAAAAATACAGAACTAAGAACAGATATAGCCCCTGGTTCTCCTCAGACTTGACTGCCCTTGACCAGCACAAAAACATCCTGTGGCGTACTGCATTAGCATCAAATAGCCCCCGCGATATGCAACTTTTCAGGGAAGTTAGGAACCAATATACACAAGCAGTTAGGAAAGCAAAGGCTAACTTTTTCAAACAGAAATTTGCATCCTGTAGCACTAACTCCAAAAAGTTTTGGGACACTGTAAAGTCCATGGAGAATAAGAGCACTTCCTCCCAGCTGCCCACTGCACTGAGGCTAGGAAACACTATCACCACCGATAAATCTACAATAATCGAGAATTTCAACAAGCATTTTGCTACGTCTGGCCATGCTTTCCACCTGGCTACCACTACCCCGGCCAACAGCTCTGCACCCTCCGCTGCAACTTGCCCATGCCCCCCCCGCTTCTCCTTCACACAAATCCAGACAGCTGATGTTCTGAAAGAGCTGCAAAATCTGGACCCCTACAAATCATCTGGGCTAGACAATCTGGACCCTTTCTTTCTAAAGCTAGCCGCCGAAATTGTCGCAACCCCTATTACTAGCCTGTTCAACCTCTCTTTCGTAACGTCTGAGATCCCCAGAGATTGGAAAGCTGCCGCGGTCATCCCCCTCTTCAAAGAGGATGACACTAGATCCAAACTGTTACAGACCCATATCCATCCTGCCCTGCCTTTCAAAAGTTTTTGAAAGCCAAGTTAACAAACAGATCACCGACCATTTCGAATCCCACCGTACCTTCTCCGCTATGCAATCCGGTTTCCGAGCTGGTCATGGGTGCACTTCAGCCACGCTCAAGGTCCTAAACGATATTATAACCGCGATCGATAATAGACAGTACTGTGCAGCCGTCTTCATCGACCTGTCCAAGTCTTTCGACTCTGTCATCCACCGCATTCTTATTGGCAGATTAAATAGCCTTGGTTTCTCAAATGACTGCCTCGCCTGGTTCACCAACTACTTCTCAGATAGAGTTCAATGTGTCAAATCGGAGGGCCTGTTGTCTGGACCTATGGCAGTCTCTATGGGGGTGCCACAGGGTTCAATTCTTGGGCCGACTCTTTTCTCCGTGTATATCAATGATGTCGCTCTTGCTGCTGGTGACTCTCAGATCCACCTCTACGCAGACGACACCATTTTGTATACATCTGGCCCTTCATTGGACACTGTGTTAATAAACCTCCAAACGAGCTTCAATGCCATACAACACTCCTTCAGTAGCCTCCAACTGCTCTTAAACACTAGTAAAACTAAATGCATGCTCTTCAACCGAACGCTGCTTGCACCCGCCCACCCGACTAGAATCACTACTCTCGACGGGTCTGACCTAGAGTATGTGGACAACTACAAATACCTAGGTGTCTGGTTAGACTGTAAACTCTCCTTCCAGACTCACATTAAGAATCTCCAATCCAAAGTTAAATCTAGAATCGGTTTCCTATTTCGCAACAAAGCCTCCTTCACTCATGCTGCCAAACATGCCCTCGTAAAACTGACTATCCTATCGATCCTTGACTTCGGCGATGTCATTTACAAAATAGCCTCCAACACTCTACTCAGCAAATTGGATGTAGTCTATCACAGTGCCATCCGTTTTGTCTCCAAAGCCCCATATACTACCCACCACTGTGACCTGTACGCTCTTGTTGGCTGGTCCTCACTATAAATCACTGCTAGGCAAATCCCCGCCTTATCTTAGCTCATTGGTCACCATAGCAACACCCATCCGTAGTATGCGCTCCAGCAGGTATATCTCACTGGTCATCCCCAAAGCCAACACCTCCTTTGGCCGCCATTCCTTCCAGTTCTCTGCTGCCAATGACTGGAACAAATTGCAAAAATCTCTGAAGCTGGAGAGTCTTATCTCCCTCACTAACTTTAAGCATCAGTTGTCAGAGCACCTTACCGATCACTGCACCTGTACACAGCCAATCTGAAATTAGCCCGCCCAACTACCTCATCCCCATATTGTTATTTATTTTGCTCATTTGCACCCCAGTATCTCTATTTGCACATAATCTCTTGCACATCTAGCATTCCAGTGTTAATACTAATTGTAATTATTTTGCACTATAGCCTTACCTCCATAACTTGCTACATTTGCACACACTGTATATATATTTTTCTGTTGTATTTTTGACTTTGTTTTGTTTTACCCCATATGTAACTCTGTGTTGTTGTTTTTATCGCACTGCTTTGCTTTATCTTGGCCAGGTTGCAGTTGTAAATGAGAACTTGTTCTCAACTGGCTTACCTGGTTAAATAAAGGTGAAATAAAATAAAATGTGGACAGTTATTCTAACATGTTCAAAAGTGCACATCAGAATTCGTTGAGAAGGAACGCACATCATTGCATCCTCGACTTACATGTTAATATGAATTACCATATTCTAAAATGCGATTTCTGTCATTCTGAGCATCGTGGGTGCAATAAAAAAAATAAAAAATAAAACACTTGGCAGGCAATATCAACATTGGGGCATGATCTAGGCCTAAAGGCCTATTTGTGAACACAACAGAAAATAAACAGAAATAACCTACAAAAGAGACATCACAACACTGTCATGGCCTTATGCAGTTGGCACAGTGTTAGTATTATTATTATTTATTTAACCTTTATTTAACTAGGCAAGTCAGTTAAGAACTAATTCTTATTTACAATGACGGCCTACCCCCGGGCAAACCCGGACGACGCTGGGCCAATTGTGCGCCGCCCTATGGGACTCCCAATCACGGCCGGTTGTGATACAGCCAACAGGGTCTGTAGTGACGCCTCAAGCACTGAGATGCAGTGCCTTAGACCGCTGCGCCTCTCGGGAGCCCCAAAGTAGGCTCCTCCCTGGGAGGTAAACATGTTCATTGTGGTTTAATAAATCTGGATTAGATTAACTCTGTGAGCAGAGAAGCAGAGCCAACCACCACAGTGCTAACCGGTCTTAGTCAAGACCAGATCTATTTAGCTACACTGAACAAAAATATAAAAACGCAACAATTTCAAAGATGTTACAGTTCATATAAGGAAATCCGTCAATTGAAATAAATTCATTAGGCCCTAATCTATGGATTTCACATGACTGGGAATAAAGATATGCATCTGTTGGTCACAGATACCTTTAAAAGAAAGGTAGGGGCGTGGATCAGAAAACCAGTCAGTATCTGGTGTGACCACCATTTGCCTCATGCAGCGCGACACATCTCCTTCGCATAGAGTTGATCAGGCTGTTGATTGTGGCCTGTGGAATGTTGTCCCACTCCTCTTCAATGGCTGTGCGAAGTTGCTGGATATTGGGGGAACTGGCACACACTGTCGTACATTTCGATCCAGAGCATACCAAACATGCTCAATGGGTGACATGTCTGGTGAGTATGCAGGCCATGGAAGCACTGGGACATTTTCAGCTTCCAGGAATGAAACATAAGGTGATGGCGGCCGATTAATGGGACGACAATGGGCCTCAGGATCTCATCACCGTATGTCTGTGCATTCAAATTGCCATCGATAAAATGCAATTGTTTTCGTTGTCCGTAATTTATGCCTGCCCATACCATAACCCCACCGCCACCATGGGGCACTCTGCTCACAACGTTGATAATCAGCAAACCGCTCGCCCCCACGACGGTTGTGAGGCTGGTTGGATGCACTGCCAAATTCTCTAAAACAACTTTGGAGGTGGCTTATGGTAGAGAAAAGAACATTCAACTCTCTGCAACAGCTCTAGTGGACATTCCTGCAGTCAGCATACCAATTGCACGCTCCCTCAAAACATGAGACATCTGTGGCATTGTGTTGTCCCTAGCACAAGGTGCACCTGTGTAATGATCATGCTGTTTAAATCAGCTTCATGATATGCCACACCTGTCCGGTGGATGGAATATCTTGGCAATGGAGAAATGCTCACTAACAGGGATGTAAACAAATTTGTGCACAAAATTTGAGAGAAAAAAGCTTTTTGTGCGTATGGACAATTTCTGGGATCTTTTAATTTAGCTCATGAAACATGGGACCAACACTTTACATGTTGCGTTTATATTTTTTGTTCAGTGTAAATTAGAAGACAATGGGATAGTCCTTTTTCACGCAGGGTTTTCGAAGGCCGTTAGGTGACATCTCATGCTGACATAGCCAAATATGTTTCCTATACTAACCAAATGTGTGTTCAGACAATGATTGGGATCAGAAAGAGAAGGCTAAGCTATAGTCCTGTCGACTGCTTTCCAAGCACTGAGAATGCTGGAGCACAGAGAAGATCATGTTTCACAACAGTACAGTGGAGAGTGCAAGCAAGGACTCTGCAATCCAAACCCAGACTAACCCTTAACCCTTAACCCTAAACCCTAAACCTTAACCCTTAACCCATTAAACATTCAGACTACTTGTGAAGCAGCAAAGATTCAGGCTGTGGCAACACGCTTCCAGAATATTCTATTATACAGGTTGCGTCCCTAACGGCACACCACATAGGGCTCTGGTCAAAAGTAGCGCACTACGTAGGGAATAGGGTGCCATTTGGGACTCACACAAAGGCTGTGGCAACAGCCTTCCAGAATATTCTTCAAATCAACTTCAGATAAAACTCCCTCCACCCACTGTCAACAACATCATACTTCAAAACAGTTGGAGGACAGAACAGCGACATGCACTACCAGCAGCTCTTGAAACAAGCTACTATTCCGGTTATATGCAAAGGCCAAAGGTCAGTTCAATTGGAATTGCATTGCGTTTCTCACTATGGGTATACCATGATGATGTCATCTTTGGCCAGTCTACAAGATGTTAGTTAGGGCTAGGTGATATAATATAATAATAATAATAATAATAATAATAATTTATGCCATTTAGCAGACGCTATATCGTGAATACTGGTATGGATCCACATGGATTTCTACAATACTGTCTTTGTCGATATGTTGATACAATGCTAAATAAATTAAAAAAAGTTCTACTTCAAATACTTATTTCCCTCATTAAAATGAAAATCAATTTATAGGGATGTAGCTCAGTTGATAGAGCATGGCGTTTACAACGGCAGGGTTGTGGGTTCGATTCCCACGGGGGGCTAGTATAAAAAAATAAAAAATATGTATTCACTAACTGTAAATCGCTCTGGATAAGAGCGTCTGCTAAATGACTGAAATGTAAAATGTAATAACATTTTTGACATGCATTTTTATGGATTTTTTTGTTGTTATTCTGTCTCTCACTGTTGAAATAAACCTACCATTAAAATTATAGACTGATCATGTCTTTGTCAGTGGGCAAACGTATAAAATCAGCAGGGGATCAAGTACTTTTTTCCCTCACTGTAAAGCCCATTAAAACCACTAATAATTCAGAAGCATAAAATATCATTTTATAAAATCGCAATACCGTCAATAGTTTTTTTTTAATGGGATAATTTTTATATATCGCCCATCCCTAGTTGGGGCCAGTCTACAAGAAAGACGTTAGTTGGGGCCAGTCTACAAGAAAGACGTTAGTTGGGGCCAGTCTACAAGAAAGACGTTAGTTGGGGCCAGTCTACAAGAAAGACGTTAGTTGGGGCCAGTCTACAAGAAAGACGTTAGTTGGGGCCAGTCTACAAGAAAGACGTTAGTTGGGGCCAGTCTACAAGAAAGACGTTAGTTGGGGCCAGTCTACAAGAAAGACGTTAGTTGGGGCCAGTCTACAAGAAAGACGTTAGTTGGGGCCAGTCTACAAGAAAGACGTTAGTTGGGGCCAGTCTACAAGAAAGACGTTAGTTGGGGCCAGGCTATTTTTGAAATGTGAGAGATTCTGACTGAGCAGCTCACCCTCTCTCTCTGTCCACTCACATCATGGGATAGATTGTGTTTGTGCTCAGTTCCTCTACAGAGGGCTGCTGATGTCTCCTTTCATGGCTTCCCTCACTAAAACCACCCTAAATAAGGAGAGGGGAGAGAGAGAGAGAGATTCACTAATTTTAGAGTAGAAGCGTTAAAGGTCAGAGGCTCAGTCACCCGTCCTAATGAGCAGGGAGACCATGGTAAACTGGGTTGAGAGTGTGGCGGGGGGGGGGGGTCAGCCGTGACACTGTGCTGTGTCACCGCTGTGTTCAGTGCGTACCCGGCCTCAGACAGACAAGGAGTCAGTCGTCTCCTTCATGTAAGAGGAGAATCCTACTCAACCTTTAATGAAGGAAGAAGACACTTTGTGCCCTAAATAGTGCAGAAAAGTAGTACCCTACATAGGGGATAAATTGCCATTTCATAGCACTGAGTGATGCCTGCAGAGGGGAGACAACCAGTGGAAACCTGAAGACTGGGACACCTGACGTAAATCGTTTTAGAACAGGAGAGAAAATCGTTTTAGATCAGGAGAGAAAATCATTTAGATCAGGAGAGCAAATATTGGTTCAGTTTGAAACTTCCTTTGAGATAATAATGAGTAAGAAGACATGGACATGGGGACCTGCTCCTACAAACCATAGACAGGGGGACCAGCTCCTACAAACCATAGACAGGGGGACCAGCTCCTACAAACCATAGACAGGGGGACCAGCTCCTACAAACCATAGACAGGGGAACCTGCTCATACAAACCATAGACAGGGGGACCAGCTCCTACAAACCATAGACAGGGGGACCAGCTCCTACAAACCATAGACAGGGGAACCTGCTCATACAAACCATAGACAGGGGGACCAGCTCCTACAAACCATAGACATAGACAGGGGGACCTGCTCCTACAAACCATAGACAGGGGGACCTGCTCCTACAAACCATAGACAGGGGGACCTGCTCCTACAAACCATAGACAGGGGGACCTGCTCCTACAAACCATAGACAGGGGGACCTGCTCCTACAAACCATAGACAGGGGGACCTGCTCCTACAAACCATAGACAGGGGGACCTGCTCCTACAAACCATAGACAGGGGGACATGCTCCTACAAACCATAGACAGGGGGACCTGCTCCTACAAACCATAGACATGGACAGGGGCAAATAGTCCGGGTAGCCATGATTAGCTGTTCAGGAGTCTTATGGCTTGGGGGTAGAAGCTGTTAAGAAGCCTTTTGGACCTAGACTTGGCTCTCCGGTACCGCTTGCCGTGCGGTAGCAGAGAGAACAGTCTATGACTAGGGTGGCTGGAGTCTTTGACAATTTTTAGGGCCTTCCTCTGACACCACCTGGTATAGAGGTCCTGGATGGAAGGAAGCTTGGCCCCAGTGATGTACTGGGCCGTACGCACTACCCTCTGTAGTGCCTTGCGGTCGGAGGCCGAGCAGTTGCCATTCCAGGCGGTGATGCAACCAGCCAGGATGCTCTCGATGGTGCAGCTGTATAACTTTGAGGATCTGAGGACCCATGCCAAATCTTTTCAGTCTCCTGAGGGGGAATAGGCTTTGTCGTTCCCTCTTCACGTCTTGGTGTGTTTGGACCATGATAGTTTGTTGGTGATGTGGACACCAAGGAACTTGAAGCTCTCAACCTGCTCCACTACAGCCCCGTCGATGAGAATGGGGGCGTGCTCAGTCCTATTTTTTCCCCCTGTAGTCCACAATCATCTCCTTTGTCTTGCTCACATTGAGCGAGAGGTTGTTGTCCTGGCACCACACTGCCAGGTCTCTGACCTCCTCCCTATAGGCTGTCTCATCGTTGTCGGTGATCAAGCCTACCACTGTTGTGTCGTCGGCACACAATGATGGTGTTGAGTCGTGCCTGGCCATGCAGTCATGGGTGAACAGGGAGTACAGGAGGGGACTAAGCACACACCCCTGAGGGGCCCCTGTGTTGAGGATCAGCGGGGCAGATGGGTTGTTGCCTACCCTTACCACCTGGGGGCGGCCCGTCAGGAAGTCCAGGATCCAGTTGCAGAGGGAGGTGTTTAGTCCCAGGGTCCTTAGCTTAGTGATGAGCTTTGAGGGCACTATGGTGTTCAACGCTGCGCTGTATTCAATGAATAGCATTCTCACATAGGTGTTCCTCTTGTCCTGTTGGGAAAGGGCAGTGTGGAGTGCAATAGAGATTGCATCATCTGTGGATCTGTTGGGACGGTATGCAAATTGGAGTGGGTCTTGGGTTTCTGGGGTAATGGTGTTGATGTGAGCCATGACCAGCCTTTCAAAGCACTTCATGGCTACAGACGTGAGTGCTACGGGTCAGTGGTCATTTAGGCAGGTTATCTTAGTGTTCTTGGGCACAGGGACTATGGTGGTCTGCTTGAAACATGTTGGTATTACAGACTCAGTCAGGGACATGTTGAAAATGTCAGTGAAGACACTTGCCAGTTGGTCAGCGCATGCTCGGAGTACACCTCCTGGTAATCCGTCTGGCCCTGCAGCCTTGTGAATGTTGATATGGGTTGTTACTGTTGACTTCAATGGTCAACTCAAATATTAGATTACTAGGTTGTTAAAAATACTTGATTGTTGCAACTCAAATAAGCCTACTAGTGTAGATTCACAAATCGTTAGGCAGAATTCCTCTCTAGGAAATAGTTTTATGGTACAGTTAAAGTATATAAGCTAAAGCATAGCCCTAAGATATAGATATATAGGCCAGTGTTTCCCATATATTCATTGCCGCCACTCCAAAAAAATATGTAAAATAATTGGATGAATCTTTAGAATCTGACCTTATTGCCATTATCTCAAAAAAAAAAAAAGTCAAATCAGGTAGGTAATGGCTATGTTCTGTCTGAAAGAAGTAGCCTCTGTTCGGGAAAACATCAGAGATGATCATGGAACAATCTTATATGATTGTTAGTGGAGAATCAATTGATTTCCCTCAGTTATTCTGTGCAGACGAATCACTCTCCCTTCTAACGAGCCGGGAACAGCTTTGTAGGTGGAAACAGATCTGTCAGGGTCATAGTTGGTAATAGCTCCAGCCGTTCAAAATCTAGAGCCAAATTCATTCACTAGAAAAACTATTTTACCACTCCGTTTTATCCCAGCCGCTAATAAGGTTAATCACGTAACCACGGTTCTATGAAGTAAGAACCACATTCAACTGACTGAGGAAAACACATTCTTTCAGATTGGCCCTGTAGGTCGTGGTCTAAAGTAGTGCACTATATAGGGAATAGGGTGCCATTCTCTGGTCTAAAGTAGTGCACTATGTAGGGAATAGGGTGCCATTCTCTGGTCTAAAGTAGTGCACTATATAGGGAATAGGGTGCCATTCTCTGGTCTAAAGTAGTGCACTATATAGGGAATAGGGTGCCATTCTCTGGTCTAAAGTAGTGCACTATATAGGGAATAGGGTGCCATTCTCTGGTCTAAAGTAGTGCACTATGTAGGGAATAGGGTGCCATTCTCTGGTCTAAAGTAGTGCACTATGTAGGGAATAGGGTGCCATTCTCTGGTCTAAAGTAGTGCACTATATAGGGAATAGGGTGCCATTCTCTGGTCTAAAGTAGTGCACTATATAGGGAATAGGGTGCCATTCTCTGGTCTAAAGTAGTGCACTATATAGGGAATAGGGTGCCATTCTCTGGTCTAAAGTAGTGCACTATATAGGGAATAGGGTGCCATTCTCTGGTCTAAAGTAGTGCACTATATAGGGAATAGGGTGCCATTCTCTGGTCTAAAGTAGTGCACTATATAGGGAATAGGGTGCCATTCTCTGGTCTAAAGTAGTGCACTATATAGGGAATAGGGTGCCATTCTCTGGTCTAAAGTAGTGCACTATGTAGGGAATAGGGTGCCATTCTCTGGTCTAAAGTAGTGCACTATATAGGGAATAGGGTGCCATTCTCTGGTCTAAAGTAGTGCACTATATAGGGAATAGGGTGCCATTCTCTGGTCTAAAGTAGTGCACTATATAGGGAATAGGGTGCCATTCTCTGGTCTAAAGTAGTGCACTATATAGGGAATAGGGTGCCATTCTCTGGTCTAAAGTAGTGCACTATATAGGGAATAGGGTGCCATTCTCTGGTCTAAAGTAGTGCACTATATAGGGAATAGGGTGCGATTCTCTGGTCTAAAGTAGTGCACTATATAGGGAATAGGGTGTCATAGGGCTCTGGTCTAAAGTAGTGCACTATGTAGGGAATAGGGTGCCATTCTCTGGTCTAAAGTAGTGCACTATATAGGGAATAGGGTGCCATTCTCTGGTCTAAAGTAGTGCACTATGTAGGGAATAGGGTGCCATTCTCTGGTCTAAAGTAGTGCACTATATAGGGAATAGGGTGCCATTCTCTGGTCTAAAGTAGTGCACTATGTAGGGAATAGAGTGCCATTCTCTGGTCTAAAGTAGTGCACTATGTAGGGAATAGGGTGCCATTTGGGACACATCCAGAGAAAGAAAAGCATTTACAGAAACAATGGGCACCAGTTAATATGAAATAGTCCAGGCTGGAAGCCTAATCGCATTCAACAACTGATTTTGCCTTTAGTTCCATTCATTGGCTGTCAGTTTTAAACACAGTGCTAGCTACACTCCGGTGTGAAGTCTTTTCATAGGCACAGATCTAGGATCAGCTTCCCCTCAGCCAATCCTAGTGGGGAAAATGCAACAACAAAAAGGGACCCAGGATCAGCGTCTAGGGGCAACTTCATTCTAGACCGGCTAGCTTGACAGTATGCCTGAATGCAGTATGTCTGAATGCAGTATGCCTGAATGCAGTATGCCTGAATGCAGTATGTCTGAATGCAGTATGTCTGAATGCAGTATGTCTGAATGCAGTATGCCTGAATGCAGTATGCCTGAATGCAGTATGCCTGAATGCAGTATGTCTGAATGCAGTATGCCTGAATGCAGTATGCCTGAATGCAGTATGCCTGAATGCAGTATGCCTGAATGCAGTATGCCTGAATGCAGTATGTCTGAATGCTGAATGCAGTATGTCTGAATGCATGCTGAGCAGTATGCCTGAATGCAGTATGTCTGAATGCAGTATGCTCTGAATGCAGTATGCCTGAATGCAGTATGCCTGAATGCAGTATGCTGAATGCAGTATGCCTGAATGCAGTATGCCTGAATGCAGTATGTCTGAATGCAGTATGCCTGAATGCAGTATGTCTGAATGCAGTATGTCTGAATGCAGTATGCCTGAATGCAGTATGTCTGAATGCAGGGCCTAAGCAGTGCAGTCATGAGGCTAGCTCAGATCTCCATAGACATGTCTTAAAACAACACAGCGGAGGGAGAACAGTGGAGCTGTAACCATCAGAGCGGTTAACAGGCTGCTGCTGCCTGGAGCTCAGTGCGGCCGGTGTTACTGTGTGTGTGTGTGTGTGTGTGTGTGTGTGTGTGTTAAACGAGGAACAGAGAGCAAGCCAAGGTCAATCCCACCGCACGGGGGTCTTGGAGATACAAACTCCTCTTCCCTCCCTTGTTCATTCATTGTCATGCCAAACAGTACTGCCAAAATGAGGGAAACACCAATATAAAGTGTCTTAACAGGGCGTTGGGCCACCACGAGCCAGAACAGCTTCCATGCTCCTTGGCATAGATTCTACAAGTGTCTGGAACTCTATTGGAGGAATTCCATCATTTGGTGTTTTCTTGATAATGGTGGAAAACACTGTCTCAAGTGCAACTCCAGAATTTCCCATAAGTGTTGAATTGGGATGAGATCTGGTGACTGAGACGGCCATGGCATACATCGTTTTAATGCTCATCAAACCATTCAGTGACCACTCAAGCCCTGTGGATGGGGGCATTGCCACGGTGGCCAAAATAACGTAGCTAGCTAAAACTAGCTGGCTAGAAGGATGAAGCTAACGTTGAACGGCGCCTGACCTCAGCAGGAGCAGTTGACCGCTAGCTATAAATCAAAAAAATGGGCTACTATAAGTTCTCGTAACAAAATACCTTTTCTTTACAGAGAGTAGTGAGACAGACTGTGGTGAGTCAGGCTGCAATGGAGGAGGCAATGGAGGTACACAGAGAGAGGAAGCATTGAATCAAGCAGGGAGGAAAGGTTAGTAATTTGGGGTCCTAAAATTTAAAATAGGGTCCCCTGAGAGAATCTTTAAATCTTATCAAACACATTAATAACTTGTTTCTCTTTAAATTGGTACAGAATACAGCATTTTAGGATCAACTAAGGGCCGTTTACACTGTCAGATTTCACGTTCATGTCATTATGTGTTGGGACAGCCAGTTGGACCTAAAATGTTGTGAAATATAAAGACAATTTAATATCCTCATCAATATTAAAAGTCCTTGAATTTGACTTGCCCCTGTCTGTGCGAACCCTGGTTATATTATGAACCTAAATGATGACTATCCAATCTACTCCTCACGAATAGTAGGCCATCTTACACAAGTCCGCAAATGCCATGATGCATGGAATGCAAGGTGCATTTTCTACAGTGACATTTTGCTTCACCGAACTTGAAACTCACGCGCTGCCTATGTATATGTGATTCTGCTATTCTTTACTCGTCTTGTTGGCCGGCTGGAGGGTTGCCAGGGACAAAAGCCACACAGATACAGAAACATACCAAGGTAATGCGTGAGGGACTGGCTCTGCTTCACTGAGCAGTGTGTGTGTGTGAGTTCACCCTTTTCCAAATCGCCACTATCTCTTAAGATAATATAGCAGATAAATAACCACAGAGGAATGTGTCCTAAAATGGCACCCTATTCCTTATACAGTGCACTACTTTTGACCAGAGCCCAACAGGAATAGGGTGCCATTTGAGATACACTTTCCCAGAGCTAAATCATGTCATGTGTAACCCACCCACCAACCCCTTTGACAGCCAGGACACGCTCGCCTCACCTTACTAGTTGTAGGATTCCATAGTGGGCCGAGAGAGGGAGGGGGGTCACAATTAACCTTTGAAGCAGAAGAAAGTCTAGTGGGGAAAGAATCACTAGAATAGCCCAGAAGCACTAGGATAGCACTAGGATAGCCCAGAAGCACCAGGATAGCACTAGGATAGCCCAGAAACACTAGGATAGCACTAGGATAGCCCAGAAGCACTAGGATAGCACTAGGATAGCCCAGAAGCACTAGGATAGCACTAGGATAGCCCAGAAGCACTAGGAAAGCACTAGGATAGCCCAGAAGCAATAGGGTAGCACTAGGATAGCCCAGAAACACTAGGATAGCCCAGAAGCACTAGGATAGCCCAGAGAAGCACTAGGATAGCCCAGAAGCACTAGGATAGCACTAGGATAGCCCAGAAGCACTAGGATAGCACTAGGATAGCCCAGAAACACTAGGATAGCACTAGGATAGCCCAGAAAGCACTAGGATAGCACTAGGACAGCCCAGAAGCACTAGGATAGCCCAGAAGCACTAGGAAAGCACTAGGATAGCCCAGAAGCAATAGGGTAGCACTAGGATAGCCCAGAAACACTAGGATAGCCCAGAAGCACTAGGATAGCACTAGGATAGCCCAGAAGCACTAGGATAGCCAAGCCTAGGATAGCCCAGAAGCACTAGGATAGCACTAGGATAGCCCAGAAAGCACTAGGATAGCACTAGGATAGCCCAGAAGCACTAGGATAGCCCAGAAAGCACTAGGATAGCCCAGAAGCACTAGGATAGCACTAGGATAGCCCAGAAGCACTAGGATAGCACTAGGAAGCAGAACACTAGGATAGCCCGAAACACTAGGATAGCATACCTAGGAAGCCCTAGAAGCACTAGGATAGCCCAGAAGCACTAGGATAGCACTAGGATAGCCAGATAGACTAGGATAGCCCAGAAGCACATAGGATAGCCAGAAGACACTAGGATAGCACTAGGATAGCCCAGAACACTAGGATAGCACAGGATAGCCCAGGAAGCCAGAACACTAGGATAGCCCAGAAGCACTAGGATAGCACTAGGATAGCCCAGAAACACTAGGATAGCACTAGGATAGCCCAGAAACACTAGGATAGCACTAGGATAGCCCAGAAGCACTAGGATAGCCCAGAAGCACTAGGATAGCCAGAAGCACTAGGATAGCACTAGGATAGCCCAGAAGCACTAGGATAGCACTAGGATAGCCCAGAAGCACTAGGATAGCACTAGGATAGCCCAGAAACACTAGGATAGCACTAGATAAAACCCACGAAGCACTAGGATCGCACTAGGATAGCACTAGGATATCCCAGAAGCACTAGGATGTCACTAGATAGCCCAGAAGCACTAGGATAGTCACTAGATAGCCCCAAAGCACGAGGATCAATCACTATGATGCAGAAGCACTAGGATAGCACTAGGATAGCCCAGAAACACTAGGATAGCCCAGAGCCATGTAATGTAGGCCCTGATTGTGGCCCAAATGTCATCTGGCTCTGATCAAAAGCAGTGCACCATGTAGGGAGAAGTGTGCAGGCCCTATGTACACTACCTGACCAAAAGTATGTGGACACCTACTCGTCAAACATCTCATTCCAAAATCATGGGCATTAATATGGAGTTGGCCCCCCCTTTGCTGCTATAACAGCCTCCACTCTTCTGGGAAGCCTTTCCACTAGATGTTGGAACATTGCTGCAGGGACTTACTTCCATTCAGCCACAAAGAGCATTAGTGAGGTCGGGCACTGATGTTGGGCGATTAAGCCTGGCTCGCAGTCGGCGTTCCAATTCATCCCAAAGGTGTTCGATGGGTTGAGGTCAGGGCTCTGTGCAGGCCAGTCGAGTTCTTCCACACAGATCTTGACAAACCATTTCTGTATGGGTCTCGCTTTGTGCACGGGGGCATTGTCATGTCAACTGTTGCCACAAAGTAGGAAGCACACAATCGTTTAGAATGTCATTGTATGCTGTAGCGTGAAGATTTCCCTTAACTGGAAGTAAGGGGCCTAGCCCGAACCATGAAAAACAGCCCCAGACCATTATTCCTCCCACCAAACTTTACAGTTGGAACTATGCATTGGGGCAGGTAGCGTTCTCCTGGCATTCGCCAAACCCAGATTTGTCCGTCGGACAACACCACTCCAGTCGACGCTTGGCATTGTGCGTGGTGATCTTAGGCTTGCGTGCGGCTGCTTGGCCATGGAAACCCATTTCATGAAGCTCCTGACGAACAGTTATTGTGCTGACGTTGCTTCCAGAGGCAGTTTGGAAGTCGGTAGGGAGTGTTGCAACCGAGGACAGACGATTTTTACGTGCTACGTGCTTCAGCACTCGGCGGTCCCGTTCTGTGAGTTGAGCCGTTGTTGCTTCTAGACGTTTCCACTTCACAATAACATCACTTAAGAGTTGACCGGGGCAGCTCTAGCAGTGCAGAAATTGGACCAACTGTCTTGTTGGAAAGGTGGCATCCTATGACGGTGTCACGTTGAAAGCCACTGAGCTCTTCAGTAAGGCCATTCTACTGCCAATGTTTGTCTATGGAGATTGCATGGCTGTGTGCTCGATTTTATACACCTGTCAGCAACGGGTGTGGCTGAAATAGCCGAATCCACATACCTTTGGCCATGTAATGTAGCTTGCATACCATGTTGACATGAATGAGATCATTTCAAACCTAACCGCTTTAGCGCCTATTGGATGATAGCATCTTCTTTACCGGGGGACTTTTGTTAAGAGCCCCGACGCCCGATCTGAAAGTTAACACGCATTGCCTGCAGTACTGTTTTGGAAACATAAGGAACTTATCTTTCATATCAGCAAGAAATAATTTTCAGAAAACAGGGTTAAATTGATACACACCTTGATAGGGTTAGTGTTCCCCACGTTACAGCGCTTGTTTACGGAAAACAGACGGAAGACAGAGGCTTACACTTACACACATGTGCTGCCAACACGTGTGTAAGTGTAACTCAGGAAATGAGGCAGAAGTGTAGTCTGGTCAGATAGAGGAACCCATAGCAGTATGGATCTGTAACTGCTACAGTAAGTATCTTTGTTTGAAAATGAGTTTTTCCCCCTCACTGATGAAAGAAAAAAAGGGCCATATGCTTCGAAAGTCATATCGCAGGCGATGATTGACGTTTCTAAACGTTAAAACAGTGTCGGGATTGTAGTGGGCGAAGCTCGCCGACTGCGAGCCAGGCTTAAGTATGTGCACACATACTTTCACAGGACCATCGATCAGTGCTCCGTCCGCTCTCCAGTGGGACAGAGCCCTGTCTCACCCCAAAAACTGGTGGTGTGCTTTTCTTATTCACACGTTAGCGTGGTGGGTCAATTACAGTTTCTTTTTTTTTTGCATGTTTTTTTTTTATATTGACTTATTTTCTAATTCACACGTTACTGGTGTTTACTTTGTGTGTTTCCTTCAATTTCACCACGTTTCACCTGTAGATTACATTCTTTAAGATGTAACTATTTTCCTAAGTAAATATCTAAAAAAAGGCCTGCAAATGTATTTGTCTGGTTATTTATACTTGTGGCATAAAATATGACTGGTGTTGAATCAGTCACTCTGTAGATGAGGTTAATGTCTTGGGGGGGTCTGTCCTTATCGTCTACAGCCGGACACTCACCCATGTACCAAAGCAGGAATGTCTCCATTGAAAAGCCTCTACACCTGACCATGTGAAACCTTGTTATGTTGACTAGGTGAATGTCGAGGGTCTGGCCTCATTGTCCACAGCTGGAAAGCCATCTTCACCGATGTAACATAGTAGAAAAGTCCTTATTTAAAAAAGGCCCACTACACAACTCAAGATTAGGTCAATGTCTTGAGGGTCTAGCCTCCAAGGAATATGGCGAAGTGACTGTCCTTACGCTAGTCTTTATTGTGAATAAGGAAATCAGCAAAACCAAGTGTGTAGCTCACAACATGATATATGAACAGTCATCTACCAGGAAGAGAACATATGTGCACACATGTTTTCCAAACCACATTTACTGTATGGTGCCAGCAGCATCCTGGAAAGGCACTTGACCAGCTGGTGTGACGAAGTAGTCCTTGAGGTTGTTACGCACGTCTATAGCAACTCCGGTTGACCTGTGTGCCGACATATTTCTTGGTTCCAGGAAGCGCGTGTCCCCTTGGACCAGCTCGTCTCCATTTCCTGGACGCAGGTCCCCAGTGGGTCTCGAGTGGACATGGGGTGGAAGTACCGTGTTGATGACTGTGTTGTCAGTGTCTGTAGTGCAAAAGGGAATTGTGGAAGGCCACACAGTGATAGCTACTTGAATAACTTGAGATAAGCTTGAGAGTTTATCTAGATTTTTCGTAGCTGTCTATTTACCACCACAAACCGATGCTGGCACTAAGACCACACTCAATTAGCTGTACAGGGTCATAAGCAAACAAGAAAATGCTCCTCAACTACCTCAACTAGCCGGTGCCCCCGCACATTGACTCTGCATTTACATTTTTACATTTTTAGTCATTTAGCAGACGCTCTTATCCAGAGCGACTTACAGGAGCAATTAGGGTTAAGTGCCTTGCTCAAGGGCACATCGACAGATATTTCACCTAGTCGGCTCGGGGATTAGAACCAGCGACCTTTCGGTTACTGGCACAACGCTCTTAACCACTAAGCTACCTGCCTAAGCTACCTGCCTAAGCTACACCGGTACCCCCCTGTATATATAGCCTCCCTACTGTTATTTTATTTTACTTCTGCTCTTTTTTTCCTCAACACTTTGTTGTTGTTTTATTTTACTTTTTTATTAAAAATAAATGCACTGTTGGTTAATGGCTGTAAGTAAGCATTTCACTGTAATGTCTGCACCTGTTGTATTCAGCGCATGTGGCCAATACATTTTGATTTGATTTGATCATACCTCCTCCATGCTTTACAGTGGGAAATACACATGCGGAGATCATTCGTTCACCTACTCTGCGTCTCACAAAGACACGGCGGTTGGAACCAAAAATCTCCAATTTGGACTCATCAGACCAAAGGACACATTTCCACCGGTCTAATGTCCATTGTTCGTGTTTCTTGGCCCAAGCAAGTCTCTTCTTCTTATTGGTGTCCTTTAGTGGTGGTTTCATTGCAGCAATTCGACCATGAAGGCCTGATTCACACAGTCCCCAATTTATTTGGGCTGCAATTTCTGAGGCTGGTAACTCTAAATGAACTTATCCTCTGCAGCAGAGTTAACTCTGGGTCTTCCATTCATGTGGCGGTGCTCATGAGAGCCAGTTTCATCATAGCGCTTGATGGTTTTTGTGACTGCACTTGAAGAAACTTTCCAAAGTTCTTGAAATGTTCCATATTGACTGACCTTCACGTCTTAAAGTAATGATGGACTGTTGTTTCTCTTTGCAAATTTGAGCTGTTCTTGCTATAATATGGACTTGGTATTTTACCAAATAGGGCTATCTTCTGTATACCACCCCTACCTTGTCACAACATAACTGATTGGCTCAAACGCATTAAGAAGGAAAGAAATTCCACAAATTAACTTTTAAGAAGGCACACCTGTTAATTGAAATGCATTCCAGGTGACTACCTCATGAAGCTGGTTTCTCTGTGTATATCAATGATGTCGCTCTTCCTGCTGGTGACTCTCAGATCCACCTCTACGCAGACGACACCATTTTGTATACATCTGGCCCTTCATTGGACACTGTGTTAACAAACCTCCAAACGAGCTTCAATGCCATACAACACTCCTTCAGTAGCCTCCAACTGCTCTTAAACACTAGTAAAACTAAATGCATGCTCTTCAAATCGAACGCTGCTGGCACCCGCCCACCCGACTAGAATCACCACTCTCGACGGGTCTGACCTAGAGTATGTGGACAACTACAAATACCTAGGTGTCTGGTTAGACTGTAAACTCCCCTTCCAGACTCACATTAAGAATCTCCAATCCAAAGTTAAATCTAGAAATCGGCTTCCTATTTCGCAACAAAGCCTCCTTCACTCATGCTGCCAAACATGCCCTCGTAAAACTGACTATTCTACCGATCCTTGACTTCGGCGATGTCATTTACAAAATAGCCTCCAACACTCTACTCAGCAAATTGGATGTAGTCTATCACAGTGCCATCCGTTTTGTCTCCAAAGCCCCATACACTACCCACCACTGTGACCTGTACGCTCTTGTTGGCTGGTCCTCACTACATGTTCGTCGTCAAACCCACTGGCTCCAGGCCATCTATAAATCACTGCTAGGCAAATCCCCGCCTTATCTTAGCTCATTAGTCACCATAGCAGCACCCACCCGTAGTCTGCGCTCCAGCAGGTATATCTCACTGGTCATTCCCAAAGCCAACACCTCCTTTGGCCGCCATTCCTTCCAGTTCTCTGCTGCCAATGACTGGAACGAATTGCAAAAATCTCTGAAGCTGGAGACTCTTATCTCCCTCACTAACTTTAAGCATCAGTTGTCAGAGCACCTTACCGATCACTGCACCTGTACACAGCCCATCTGAAATTAGCCCACCCAAATACCTCATCCCTATATTGTTATTTATTTTGCTCTTTTGCACCCCAGTATCTCTATTTGCACATAATCTCTTGCACATCTAGCATTCCAGTGTTAATACTTATTGTAATTATTTTGCACTATAGCCTATTTATTGCCTTACCTCCATAACTTGCTACATTTGCACACACTGTATATATATTTTCTGTTGTATTTTTTGACTTTATGTTTTGTTTTACCCCATATGTAACTCTGTGTTGTTGTTTTTATCACACTGCTTTGCTTTATCTTGGCCAGGTCGCAGTTGTAAATGAGAACTTGTTCTCAACTGGCTTACCTGGTTAAATAAAGGTGGGAAAAAAATAAAAATAATGCCAAGAGTGTGCAAAGCTGTCATCAAGGCAAAGGGTGGCTATTTAAAGAATCTCAAATATTAAATATATATTTAGATTTGTTTAACACTTTTTTGGTTACTACATGATTCCATATGTGTTATTTCATAGTTTTGATGTCTTCACTATTATTCTACAATGTAAAAAAAAAAATGTAAAAATAAAGAAAACCCTTGAATGAGTAGATGTTTCCAAACTTTTGACAGGTAGTGTAGATATCATATTTTGACTGGTAGTATATATATATATATATATATATATATATATATATATATATATATCTATCTATCTATGCTCACTTTGAGGCAAGGAATACCGGACCATGAATGAGAGCACCAGCTGTTCCGGACAACCGTGTGATCACGCTCTCCGTAGCCGATGTGAGTAAGACCTTTGAACAGGTCAACATATCACAGGGCCAGACGGATCACCAGGACGCGTACTCAGAGCATGCGCAGACCAGCTGGCAAGTGTCTTCACTGACATTTTCAACCTCTCCCTGACCCAGTCTGTAATAGCTACACGTTTCAAGCAGACCACCATAGTCCCTGTGCCCAAGAACGCCATGGTAACCTGTCTAAATGACTATCTCCCCGTAGCACTCACATCTGTAGCCATGAAATGCTTTGAAACGCTGGTCACGGCTCACAACACCATCATTCCAGACACCCTAGACCAGGGGTGTCAAACGTACGGCCCGCGGGCCGGATCAGGCCCGCAAACGGGTTTAATCCGGCCCGCGAGATGATTTTGAAAAAATAAAAATAACATTGTAAAGTATAAAAATGCGCTGCAATTTTTCAATAAAATAAACTGCTGTTCCAATTGCGTCCACTGGATGGCGCAATAGCAATTGTGTTAAGCAAGCAAACTGTTTATACCGGGGCAGAGCAAGTAGGTCAAGCACGTGCAGCCAATGAGCTACTTTGTTTTGCCCGCGATATTTATTACGGCTTCTACTTTTAACATTATGTGCTTTGGCACCCTCATTGCCCCAATATGTCTCTGTCAAAAAAGAGAAAAGTGGACGCAGAGTGCAGAGTGTTCCAAGAAAAATGGTCATCCTATTTAATCACGGAATTGAATGGGAAAGCTGTATGTTTGGTGTGTTCAGAGCATGTTGCAGTGCTGAAAGAATATAACCTTCGTCGCCACTATGTGAGTCTTCATGCCGACAAATATGACAACTTTCAAGGACAGCGGAGATGAGAGAAGGTGAATGAACTGTTGGCGGGTCTGAAGAAACAGCAGTCTGTGTTTACTCACAGCCGAGACATCAGTGACGCTGCAGTGAAAGCTAGCTACCTCATTGCTAATGAAATCGCAGTGGCTTCAAAACCATTTAGTGAGGGTGAATTTGTAAAAACATGCATGATGAAGGCAGCGGAGATTGTGTGCCCTGAAAAGCGGCAGGCTTTTGCAAATATCAGCCTGACAAGAAACACAGTTGCAGACAGGATTTCCGATCTTTCAGTGGATTTGGACAGCCAGTTGAAGCAAAAAGTAAAGTCATTTATTGCGTTTTCGGTTGCAATTGATGAAAGCACGGACATTACAGATGTTGCACAACTGGCCATTTTTTCATCCGCGGAGTTGATGACACATTGACCGTCACCGAGGAGTTCGTGGAGTTGGTGCCGATGACAGATACAACGACAGCAGCTGATATTTTTACCGCACTCGTCGGCGCGCTGGACAGGGTCGGAGTGGACTGGTCCCGCGCTGTCAGCCTGGCTACAGATGGTGCGCCCTCAATGATCGGGAAAAAAGCAGGCGTTGTGACAAAGTTCAGAGAGAAAGTGCAATCTGCAAATGGAGGACGTGATTTTTTGACTTTTCACTGTATTTTGCACCAGGAGGCTTTGTGTTGCAAGTCATTAAAGATGGATAACGTCATGAAGGTGGTCATCCAAACTGTTAATTTCATCCGATCCAGAAGCCTGAATCACCGTCAGTTTGACAGCCTTCTCAGAGAGAAAGACCACATCTATGGCCTGCCATACCACACTGAGGTAAGATGGTTAAGCCGAGGTGCTGTGCTGAGGCGTTTCTTTGATTTACGAGAAGAAATTGAACAGTTCATGGAAGAAAAGGGCAAACCAGTGTTAGAATTTCATTCCGCAGAATGGATGCAGGACCTTGCATTTATGGTGGATGTTACAGAGCACCTGAATAACTTGAACAAACAGCTGCAAGGGCGCAACAAAGTTGTCACGCAGTATTATGACAGCATACGTTCTTTCAAGTTGAAGCTGTCATTGTGGGAGACGCAACTTGCCGGTGGTGATGCAGCTCACTTCCCCTGTCTGAAAAATGTGTGCGCGACCCAACATGTGGCAGACATGAAGCGGTTCAAATATAAAATAACGGGACTGTTACGGGAGTTTGAGCAACGCTTTCAGATTTATGTTTATATGTTTTTATGTTGATGTGCTATTGTTTTTAATTGATTTTATTTTATTTGTATATTTAACCTATTCTTGACTCTGTGGTTCTTGCACTTGTTTGGGGAACAGGATTTCATTATTTTTATTTACATTTCTGCCTGAGAAATGACACCCTGATATAGTTCTGTGATCTGTGAAACAGTTCTGTTAATCACTGAGGCATTGTGTGTTTGTGTGTTCTTTTTCTTTAGAATTTTCAAATAAACTTGACGTGTTTTATGATTAATAGTGATGTTGTGCTTGTACTATTTTGGACACACTGTCCTCAGGCTCCAGCTTTATGTTGTATGTTGATCGTATTAAAACAAAAAAACAATCTGAAGTTGTTGTTTTTAAGTTAAATATACCATGATTTTTCCGGTCCGGCCCACTTGGGAATAGATTTTCCTCCATGTGGCCCCTGAGCTAAAATTAGTTTGACACCCCTGCCCTAGACCCACTCCTATTCGCATACCACCCCAACAAATCCACAGATGACGCAGTCTCTATTGCGCTCCACACTGCCCTTTCCCACCTGGACAAAAGGAACACCTACGTGAGAATGCTGTTCATTGACTACAGCTCAGCGTTTAACACCATAGTGCCCTCAAAGCTCGTCACTAAGCTAAGGACCCTGGGATTAAACACCTCCCTCTGCAACTGGATCCTGGACTTCCTGACGGACCGCCCCCAGGTGGTGAGGGTAGACAACACATCCGCCACGCTGACCCTCAGCACGGGGGCCTCGCTAGGGTGCGTGCTTAGTCCCACTCCTGTACTCCCTGTTCACCCACGAAAGCGTGGCCGAACACGACTCCCAACAGTCATTAAGTTTGCCGACGACACAACGGTGGTAGGCCTGATCACCGACAACGATGATACCGCCTACAAGGAGGAGTTCAGAGACTTAGCAGTGTGGTGCCAGGACAACAACCTCTCCCTCAACGTCAGCAAGACAAAGGAGCAGATCGTGGACTACAGGAAATGGGAGGGCCGAGCACGCTCCCATTTACATCGACGGGGCTGTAGTGGAGCGGGTCGAGAGCTTTAAGTTCCTCGTGTCCACATCACTAAAAGGACCCATCATGGTCAAAACACACAAACACAGTCGTGAAGAGGGCACGACAACCGCCTCTTCCCCGTCAGGAGGCTGAAAAGATTTCGCATGCCCCCCCCCCCCCAGATCCTCAAAAACTTCTACAGCTGCACCACTGACAACATCTTGACTGGCTGCATCACCACTTGGTATGGCCACCCAAGTCATAGCCTTTTCTCTACTACTCCACAGCAAGCGGGACTGGAGCTCCTGCAATATTTTTTTTTTTTTTTCCACTGACACACCAACGTGCTGCTGCCAATCTGTTTATTATCCTGATTGCCTAGTCACGTTTACCCCTACCTACACAAACATATTATCTCAATTACTTCGTACCCCTGCACATTGACTCAATACACGTACTCCTTGTATATTTCATTGTATTACTATATCATTTTATTCGACTTATTCGCTAATACTTTCTTCATTTTTAACTCTGCATTGCTGGGAAAGGGCTTGTAAGTAAGTATTTCATGGTACACCAGTCTACACCTGTTGTACTCGGCGCATGTGACAAATACTATTTTAATTTGATTTTAAGTCCACCGCAGAGAGTCAGTCAGGCTTTGTCAAGATGACAGCGTGGTTGTCTTCTGACGAGGAAACAGCTTCATTAAGGTGCAAGACAAGCAAAGAGGTGTGTCCGTATTCTATTTAGAAAAAAAAGTAGCTATAAAACAACATTTGGCGACATTGTGTCAGTTCGGTAAACTGCTCGTCTATAACCGTTGTGTGAGTAACTAGCTCCAGTTTCGCCTGAGATCTCCAGGTCGGCTGGCTTGGCATGTTGTCATTCTGCCTTCTCCATACAGTTCTCAGACATTAGCGTCGCCCGAACTACAATCCTGACGCCGTGTTTTAAACATTTAGAAAACGTATCATCGCTTGCCATATGGCTTTTGATACATATGGCCCTTATTTTTCCATCTGCGCGAAAGAATCCTTAAAATAAAAGATTCATACTGTAGCAATTACAGATGCATACAGCTATGGTGCCTCCATCCTACGAAACTACACTTCCCGAGTTATGCTTCCTCAGGCATTTAAGCACGCTAGATAGCTAATTAGCACTGGTTGTTGCCTCTTGTCCTCCATAAATAAGCGCTGTAACATGGCGATATGGCCGTTGGGAACACTAACCCTATCAAGGTGTGTGTCAATTTAACGATTTTTTTTTCTTTAAAAATGTATTTCTAGCTGATATGGTCCTTAAGCTTTTAAAACCGTACCGCAAAATGATCCATATGAAATCTTCAGACATCTTCACTAAACCCCACCGTACAGAAGACGCCTTCGTCCAATGACTTGTGCTTGTGATGATGATGAAGGGCTAACTAGCAGCTCGATAGCATGTTAGCTTGCAATGTGTGACTGTCAGGCAGAGGGAAGTCTTCGTGTAAACCACTATTCGCTAAAATGGCAATTTACAGGACAATAAAAGGTATGAAATAAAAATGCAGATATGGCATCATCGACATGGCATTCACATGAGCTATTTCGATAGCTAACGTTGAGAATTTAACACGATCTAGCTGTTAGTTAAAAGATAGCAAAGCTAACGTAATTATCAAGGAATGGTCAGTTGGCCAACGGTTCTCGCTAGCCCCAAGTACCAAACTTGAACACACGACAGAGAGACAAAACATATATTCTCACTTAGTCGTGTTTTCTTACCTTGTTGTCACCGTTTTCACTAACGCTGTCGGGATCCGCTCCCTTTCCTCTCATCCGTAGCTCCGTCATATCTTCCTCCTTTACCCGTTAGTTAAAACTCACAACACATAAAACGACTCTGAATAAAACAAGGAGGTTCGTAATCCGGTTAGGAGGATTTTCGGCTACCATGAAATAACCGTCCGTTTCTGCAATGTGCTGTCTATTGTGACAGATCATTCACTTAAAGTAGGATCCCTCTCTCTCTCCTACTTCTCTCCACCGAACGCGTGCATTTGTTTATCACGGCAGTTCTCGCTCGCTGTCCGGTAGCTTGTTGGTGGCGCTGCGGTGACCGACCAGCCTATCCGAAGTCTCTTTCTGACGGACTCAATCAGGGAGTTTTATTAACCTGAACCGCGGTGTGGTGAGGGAGGAGCGCCCTTCTCAAATCGAGTAGTAATCTGCGACGCTTGGTCATGTTGTTAATAAAGCAGCATGGTCCCATCGTCCAGAATCATACAACATATATTTTTCCCATAAAACCATTAATTGGGAAGGCAGATAAAGTATTTTTATCAAAAGCAATCACTTTTGCATGTTAAACAGAATCCTACTCATTACTCCACGTGCTTAGTCTAGAATAGGCTACGTCATTTTTGTTTTGTGTCGACTTCGCCATGGTCTATGATCGGGGTACCTGGCTCACCCCCGGGAGGCAGTTCGGTTCCAAAACGAATGCAATCACTTTTCACCCGAACAAACTCCTTCCACCGGGGTAGCTCGGGCATGATAATCGAATCCCCTCAATACTGGCTCGAAATAGCGCTGCTTCTTCCGCTCTGCAGTGTGGGGTGGGGTGGGGTGGGGGGGGGGGGGGGGGGATTATAATAAAAAGATAGGACTGCATTGTTGGCACTAATGCATGTTCTGTTGAGTTATTTTCCTGTTGATAGCCTATCATCAGGTGACCTATAGTAAACTTGTATTTGAATCGTGCTTTTCATTTTTTCGAACTTGTACATTCATCCTGATGGAAATCTACTTTCATCAAAAGGTTCTACCAATAACCATAAAGGAGAAACCCTTTATCTTCCAGCAGGTACCCTTTGCACCCCACAAAGAGCCATTGTAGAACCCCTGGGATGAAGTAGGTTCCATTGACTAAGTCGCTTTGGATAAAAGCGTCTGCTAAATGGCATATTATTATGCCATTTATTATTATTTACATTTACATTTACATGTGGTCCTCTGTAGCTCAGCTGGTAGAGCACGGCGCTTGTAACGCCAGGGTAGTGGGTTCGATCCCCGGGACCACCCATACACAAAAATGTATGCACGCATGACTGTAAGTCGCTTTGGATAAAAGCGTCTGCTAAATGGCATATTATTATTATTTATTTATTATTAGTCATTTAGCAGACGCTCTTATCCAGAGCATTATTATTATTATTATATATGAAGATGCATTGCAGAACCCTTGTCCATGTACAATAACCCATTTTAGAACATCCTTACATCCAACTTTACCTCAAACCAGGATATTAGGATAAACCAGTGCTATATATTTAGATTACATTCTAAAATAAATATGGCTCTGGGATCAACGTGTGTTTTAACGTAACAGCAGCATTGGTTTACACACATTACAAATAAAACACACACACACAGCTCTAATTGGTGGTAAACAGCAAGTATTTAATGAAATTAAAATAATAAGTACCAGATCTATTGCATTATTGTTACAGTTTCTGTAGGGGTTATTCTATGGTTCTTCTCATTGTTGTTACTGAACACATATATACAATTAACATTCAGCTATCATCACAGATTGCACACTAGATACTGTAGTAATGCAGTCTAATACAAGACCACCAAAATAATACACAATTTAATTTAGATCAGTCCTTATTTTTCCATTCAGAATACAAAAAGGTCACCCAGAGTTGGGGAGCATCTCCAGCACTCCAATCGTAACTGTGCAGAGACCTATCGCTCTCGGGGCTAATAACGGCTTAAAACAACTCATAAAACTGACAATGCCTTGAAAAAAATTCACGAAACAAAAAAAAGAACAATAATAATGCCAATAAAACATGTACAATGCACTGACACAAAGGTCAGTTATGTTAATCTGTCAATGCACTGACACAAAGGTCAGTTGTGTTAATCTGTCAATGCACTGACACAAAGTCAGTTATGTTAATCCACACACAACAAGTAACAAAACTTGCTGACATAAAAAAAAAAAAAAACACAAAATTAAAAACCCAGTAATAATAATTGCATAAATACTTTATACAGTTCATTTCACTCTGGAGGAGAAATGCTCCCTTTCTTTAAAATGATAGCCCGACAACATACAAATTGCATTTGATAAAAATCATGATTTTGTATTCCTCTCAACTTTTATTTTTATTTTTTTTGTACATGAGAAGGTGGAAATAATGAACTCAGATTAATAACAACAACAATAATAATAAGCCATCTGGTTTATTTTGAAGCTGCTTTAGTAACAGACAAATGTTATCAGCTGGATGTTATGATACAGTACATAATAGAGAGATTTACCAATAGTAATAAGAGTGCATATTCCGTGGAGGGGAGGAAAAGTCAGACTGTAATCGATCATTAACTACTCATTGACTGCACTTGTGTAACAGCTCTTTAAGTGTTTTACCTGTGAGAAGAGACTCTCCAAAAAAGTCAAAAAAAAAATAAAAAGTGTAAAAATAAAACGTGATTTCTAGTAAAGAAAGCAGCACTTCAATGTACTGTTGCCCACAGCATCATCAACATACAGAACAGGACGAATAAACGAGGGGGGGGGGATCCAGATCGATGATGAATCATGACGACAACAAACTATTGTTCGCATTTTATGGTCTCCACATATACACTGAGAAATATTTCTAACATACGCCACGTTGCTAGCTAACGACATCTAAGAGTGAAATGTGACGAGCAATCATGATCGCTTTTCTCGTGACCAACAGAGTGGATTTCGTGCTACAATCAACTACAGAGATCATCCTCAGTCAAATAGTATATATATATATATATATATATCAAGGTGATCCTTATATCACCAAACGTTCCAGTTACAACTGTACAACACATCTACAGCCAGTCCACAGTCAGTCCACAGTCACTCGCTTTCATCTTAGTAGACGAGAAACACTTAGAACAGCTCTCACTACCACGCACTACTGGGTCTCACATCTCTAGTTCTACTGCTGCTATTCCACAGGTCTCGCTGGTTAACTGGGTCTCACATCTCTAGTTCTGCTGCTGCTATTCCACAGGTCTCGCTGGTTAACTGGGTCTCATCTGTAGTTCTACTGCTGCTATTCCACAGGTCTCGCTGGTTAACTGGGTCTCACATCTCTAGTTCTACTGCTGCTATTCCACAGGTCTCGCTGGTTAACTGGGTCTCATCTGTAGTTCTACTGTTGCTATTCCACAGGTCTCGCTGGTTAACTGGGTCTCATCTGTGGTTCTACTGTTGCTATTCCACAGGTCTCGCTGGTTAACTGGGTCTCATCTGTAGTTCTACTGTTGCTATTCCACAGGTCTCGCTGGTTAACTGGGTCTCATCTCTAGTTCTACTGTTGCTATTCCACAGGTCTCGCTGGTTAACTGGGTCTCATCTCTAGTTCTACTGTTGCTATTCCACAGGTCTCGCTGGTTAACTGGGTCTCATCTGTAGTTCTACTGTTGCTAATCCACAGGTCTCGCTGGTTAACTGGGTCTGAGAATCAAGGTGTCAATGAGTGTGTGTAGATAAGACTATGTATAGTAACTATTGTTCATGGTCTAATGCAATGCAACTCTTTCTCATCCACTTAGGTGGTGAGAGCAGAGGTCCTGACCTCTGTGGCGAGAGCAGATTATGGAAAATAATCTGAAATAAAGCTATAAAAGAAGAATCCCTCGTTTGTGTGCATTCACACAGACTACATGTGATAAAGCAATAGCAATGCTTCTATAAACACTGTACACTAATGCTATACAGTATCTCTACTATGTAGCTCCTACGGTAGCATGGAGCAGTACAGGCTTGGGTGCAAACAGAGGAATCCATCACACATATACTGTGTGTATTCTCTATTTCAGATGATGAACCCCATGATGATTTACCTCCAGGTGAAACGTTACTAACGTATGCACCCTCACACAGCATCTCTCACAGATCAGCGGAGGTATCAAATAAAACCTGCTATGGTAAAAGGAAGGAACGCCTAAAAAAAACAACTGAAAATGATCATTTCTCCAGTCTTGACAAGCAACAACAATAAAAAAATTAATCTGGGACCTTAAACTGGGTAAGTGTCCCAAACAAAAGACTGCATTGTGGGTAGGTAAAGATCGACACGGTAGCTCATCAAACATTACTACTTAGCGTTACGCACATGGTATATCAAAGCAATTTGGCAAAAAAAGGAAAAACATGACACAATCTCACTTTGATGGCAATTGCTTGACACTGTGGGCAACTCACAAATCAAATCACATATTGTAATTAAAAAATAATTTAAAAGAAATTAAGAAGTAATTGCATAACTAGAAACTGTAATGTCAACCCACAAACATTTATTGTTATTACTATAACATTCATAGTCCCCCATCATTGTCATGGGTCGCATCCCAAATGGCACCCTACATTGAACTACTTTTTTTGCACCCTATTCCCTATGGACTCTGGTCAAAAGTAGTGCACTACATAGGGAATAGGGTGCCATTTGGGACACAACAGTTCTCATTCCCTCTGGCCTTCCGTGACATTATAGACTAACGTTACACACAATCCTTTTGTTTTTAAAGCCGGGAGTGGTTAGTCACAATGACTTTTTGTCCTCAACAACCATTAATATTAATTTTTTTTCCCTCCGTTTTTTTCCTGCTCGTTAAAAAGGTCAATGTAAGTATTTACAATATAAACAAGTTTTGAACTGAAGGAGTTTCCCATCCTGTCGGTCTCTAAGATCTAAACTGCTAGGTGATAGACGGAGGATGGCGCTGAGGCCAGTGTTTTATTTTGGGACTTGTGAAAGAAAGTGGAAATGAGATTTGCTAACGAACCCTCCTCT